AAAGTGGCCCTTGGAGAACGCCCCTTGGGAGGCGGCGCTAGCCTGGGTCCCGAACTACTCCTCGGTGGAGGAGTACCGGAGTTCGCTAGGGAGAAGTTCGAAGAGGACGTGGCGGAGGGCCTCATGGTCAAGATGACGCTAGGCGAGTTCAAAGCCCGCTATGGCGAGCATCGAGCCATCGCCGCGCTAGCTGTCATCGTTGAGGACGAAGCTAGTGGAAAGAAGAGGATGATCCACGACGCTACCCACGGGGTCCGGGTCAACCACCGCATCAAGTGCAGGGACAAGATCCGGGCCCCAGGAGCTAGGGAGAAGAAGCAGCTACTTCGGGAGCACATCGACGCTAACGAGGTGGCTTTCTCCGTGGTGGGTGACATCGCTAAAGCCCACCGACGCTACAAGCATGCCGAAGGAGAGCATGGCTACCTAGGGTGCCAGATCGACACCGAGGAAGCTACACCGGGGGACCCCGACAGCCAGACGGTTTACGTTAATCTGGTGGGGACCTTCGGGCTATCATGTGCGAGCTGCATAGCGGCGTGTGGGCTTCGACTCACGTACCACCTGCTAGGGCCATCGTTCCCGCTAGACATGCTTCTCTATGCCGATGACCTCGAGTCCTTGGGCCGGGGGGCTAGAGGATGCATGGGGATCCCGCTAAGCTATCTCTCCCTCTAGTCTTGGGTACCCCTTCAAGTGGGCCAAGACGAGGGGGGTATTTCGGGTGGAGTAGCTAGGCATGGAAACGGAGTACTCCACCTGGAGGCTAGGCCTGTCTCAGAAGAGAACCGACTGGCTAGTGGAATGGCTACGGAAGCTAGTCCGAGATGGGAAGTGTGAGGCCCGACCCTTCGCACAAGGGCTAGGGCGCCTGGGGTTCGCTTCCATGGCGCTAGACTGGGAGCGCCCCTTCCTGGGACCGCTACACGCTTGGTCCTCGGCTGTCCAGGGGAAGCTGGGGCTCCTCACGCTACCCACGATGATTCGCGTCCTCTGTGGTTGGCTAGCGCACCGCCTGGAAGCAGGAGGCCGTCTCCAGAAGCCGGCCTCGCTATTGGACGGTGCGGCACCGCTCTCCTTTTACACCGATGCTAAAGCCGAGAATGGACGTGCCTGGATTGGGGGCTTCCTCGAGCTAGTGGACGGCTGCCACGGTCCCTGGTTCTCGCTAGAGGTGAAGAAGGAATGGGCCCCCTGGGCCTTCGCTAAAGGGGACCCGAACAAGGTCATAGCCGCGCTGGAGCTACTGGCTACTCTGGTCGGGGTGAGGCTATGGGTCCCGGAAGGGGACGCTAAGAAGACCTCCAAGGTGGCCATCCGTGGCTACACCGACAACCAGTCCAACGAGGCGCTACTGAAGAAGGCTATGACGACGAAGTTCCCGTCGACCTTGGTGTTGATGGAGCTAGCGGAAGAACTCTCCGCTAAGAACTGTGAGCTTCAGCTACAGTGGATCCGCAGGGATCTGAACCAGCTAGCGGACGACCTCACGAACGAGAACTTTGCTAGTTTCTCCCCGGACTTCAGGGTGAACCTGGAGGGGGAAAAGCTAGAGTGGCGCGTGCTGGGCCGTCTCCTCGAACACTCGGCTAGCTACTTCCAGGAGCTAGGAGTGAGGAAAAGGACCAGAGAGCCGAAGGCTCCGAGGTTCGCTAAGAAGGCCCGTAAGCTAGGTCCCTGGTAGCCCTACGGCTGCGCAAGGAGATTAGCTAGCCAAAGGCTAGAGTTCTTCTCCGGGCTAACGCGGGACTTCGCCACAACGCTAAAAAGAGAGAAGTTCGTGTTGTCCGTGCTACTGCGTGAAGCCGGTTAGCTTTTGCTAGGCTTGCTACGTACTCCCGGAGGTGTAGTGGGAGGTGGCGGGAGGATACGCTAGCTAGTGTACGCACTCGTACCGAGGGACGAGGTACGACCGTGTATGCTAGCGCTAGTATCCCTTTGGGGAAACATCGAAGGTGTTTCGCTAGAAAACTTCGAAGGGGTTTTCCTCTGAAGCTAAACAGAACGAAGCTTGTCTGTTTGCTAGAGTGACTGCACATGGCCGGTGAAGCAGTGCTACTCCGTGGCCATTGTGCTGAAAGGCCCCCAGCTATTGGGGGCAAATTTCGAGTGCCCACCCAACCCACCCTGGAGATTAGCTAGCCAAAGGCTAGAGTTCTTCTCCGGGCTAACGCGGGACTTCGCCACAACGCTAAAAAGAGAGAAGTTCGTGTTGTCCGTGCTACTGCGTGAAGCCGGTTAGCTTTTGCTAGGCTTGCTACGTACTCCCGGAGGTGTAGTGGGAGGTGGCGGGAGGATACGCTAGCTAGTGTACCGATATATGCGTTGAGAAGAATTCCGAGCTTCCGGAGTCCGACCCTAACCGCAAATTTAAGGGTCGAGTGGTGTTTGAAGGATGCCATGTCAAAGACGAGGGCAATAATTGGGCTATTTTCTCCGAGATCACCTCTTGCCCCGCGACCATGGAAGCTGGAAAGGCCGCCGATGCTTTCGGCCTTCTTCCTGGTCATGAAATACAGGTTGCCGATGGCGAATCTGCCTACACCCAGGCTAAGCTTGGTGGCCCGGCAACGTGGGTCCGCTTGCCCAAGGATCGTTGGTTGCCCGAATGGCATGGCAAATATCACGATCCGGTCGTACGCCTTGTGTTGGCCCTTTATGGGCATCCGGATGCCGGTGGTTTCTGGGAACAGCACTGTGAGAAGGCTCTTCGTTCAGTTGGGTTCGAGCAATGTCCCGACTGGAAGAGTGTGTTTCGTCATCCCAAACTTAATCTTATGCTCGTGGTCTACGTCGATGATTTTAAACTCAGTGGACCAAAGGCCAATCTGGCCAAAGGGTGGGAGCTCATGGCATCGAAGATTAAATTGGAGCCGCCCTCGAGCATCAAACGTTACTTGGGATGCGAGCATGTTACCTTCTCCCACGTTGTTCCTAGTGCCTTTGATCCGCGCTCCTATTGGACGCGCTTCGAGGAACCCAAGAAGGCGTTTCCCGAGCTGACATTTGGCGATCGAGACACCAGTGTCGCGCAGGGCTCTGTTGGTCCTCGAGAAATTCGAATGATCACATACGATATGCGATCGTTCATGGAACAATGTGTTTCTCGCTATGTTGAGCTCTGTGGTCCTAAGTATAAAGCCACCTTGCGGTCGGCTGACACGCCGTTCCTCGATGAATCGCGACCGGAATTCGATACCAATCCGGATCGACCTGCTGTGAACCGCCTGATGGGCCATCCCGTTGACACGCCTGTGCCTCCTGGTAAAGGCGTTCTCGGCGATTGTGCAGCCGCCGTTCTGATGAAAATCCTGTATGGTGCTCGCATGGGGCGGTACGATTTGATTCGTCCTGTGCAGGCACTTGCCAGTCTCATCACCAAGTGGGATGGCTTGTGTGATAAGAAACTCCATCGACTGGTGTGCTATATCAATTCTACCCTCGATCTCAATTTGTATGGGTGGATTGGTGATGCACCCGAGATGCTGGAGCTTGTGCTCTACTGCGATGCCGATCTTGCGGGTGACCGTACTGATTCCAAGAGCACCTCTGGTGTCTTTATGTGTCTTCTTGGGCCGCGTAGCTTTATGCCTCTTAATGCTTTGTCCAAGAAGCAAACTTCTGTGTCGAAGTCTACCCCCGAGGCCGAAATTGTCTCTCTTGACCACGCTGTGTATAAATTGGGCCTGCCTGCTCTGTCTATGTGGGAGTATATGTTGGGCCGCCGTTTCCGATTGCGGGTCATGGAAGACAACGAGGCCGCTATTCGCGTCGTTATCACTGGTCACAATCCGAACATGCGTCACATGTCTCGTACCCAGCGTATCGATATCTCTGCGCTGAACGAGCGCTATCACGCTGGGGATTTTCTGTTCGTGACGTGTCCTTCTCAATTCGAGGCTGGTGATATTCTGACAAAGGCCCGCACTGATGCCAAGGTGTGGGGCCGCAACCTTATGTCTATTGGTCATTTTCGTAAGGGTACTCTTATTTCTTCCGGTATGCTGTCTGCCGCTCCCGCTCTCCCTGCTCTCCCCTCTGTCTGTCCAACCAGGGGGGTACATCTTGAAACCGGTCACAGCCCCTTCAACGATTTCATCCTCGACATGTCTCGTCAGGGGGGTATTTCAATCGATGATGCTCACCAATTCGGAGCAGCAGTAAAATGTATTCATATCGGAGGCGAAGGCATAATCCGGTTCCCTCATGCTCGAAGTATCAATCTCAGTCTCGATGATAATGCAAAAGGGATTGCTATTTCGAACATCAGGGTTCCGCCTACGCCTGCGGTATGTATTGTCACTGTTCCGATTGCTGGCACCGCTAACAAAAGAGAAGCTGGTTTCAAGAACAGGGGTTGGAAAGAAATGAGGGGCGACTTAAAGGAAAAAGGATGGGAAGCCAAGAAATTACTTGGGTATGCTTCCGCTGCCCGCTCATCCGGAATCCCTGTGTTCCTTGTGCTACCGAAGGGAAACCCGTTGTGGGGTAGGGAGTACATAAGACGATGGTCTGAATCGCACGAGCTTTGTCCTGTTAAACTATGTTCGTGCTCCTCTGGTCGATGTTCCCAGCATGCATGGATGTGTGAGATTTTCATGCCTGCCCGGTTTGGGCCCATCTTCATGTCACGATTTGCATGCAATCACAAGAAGGCCAAAAGGGCCGACCCGAAGGAGCTTCGACTTGCATTGTGGACTGTGCTTGAACATTTCATGAATTCTGCGATCTTTGGCTCACAGCAATCCGCGTTGCCGATTGCTTAAACAAAGACGCCAAGGCCATGTTCACACACACACACACACACACTTGCACACTTACACTTGACTACAGCTTGGTAAGGAGCTCTAGGGACGACGATCATAGATCACCTTCATCGACCGACCATCACAGACCACCTCTACTACGACTCAGTCTATAGCCCACTTGCGCTCCCCGCTAGGACAGGTTGTAGCTGCCACGGGCTGCGAACTTCTCCGCGCTGCCGCCGCTGCTGAACGATGGGAGGAAAGAACAAGCAGCCACCGAAGAAGGCTGTTGCCAAGACACCGGCTGCCCGATCACCTCAGCCGAAGTCTCCCTCGCCATGCGGGGAAGGCCTTCCGAGCGGTCCGATTGCACCGACTACGGGAAGGCCTCCTGCTCCGCCGATTCCCACGGAGCAGGCTGATTCTGACATGGGCACCGATGAAGCCCCTGTCCCGATTCAGACTCCGAGAGATGAGTCTACCGGGGGTGGAAAGCGCTCTGAGGATATTCCGATAGGATTGAGGATGAAGGCGATGATGCTGAAGATTGGGATCCAAGAGATCCCACAGGCCTCAATCTGGCAACGCCTCGAGCAGCTGACATGCAACCCTGGTTACGATCAAAAGCTGCACCAGCTGGTTGACTCCTTCCTCCTCACTACTCATCCGCTCGCGGATAAGCAGAGGAAGCAGTACCCCCGAGAGATTATGGACTTCATCGACCGTTACAGGGTGATGTGCGCTCTTGCATTTTCCCGAGTGGCGACGTTGTCTGGTGACGCCGCAGGGGTCCGCGAGAAAATGGACCTTACGATGGCGCTGGCTCGCCACTGTATGCACTTCCAAGCGCAGAGCTTTAAGGGATCCCGAGAGACGCTGAGCAACGATACGCTCCGTCTCATGGGAACCTGCTATATCCCGTCGCCTCTTGCGAGCTGGAACCGAAATCTCATGGGATACAGCAGTTCGACTGCGGAACAGCGATGGTTGAGGACCGATACGAGTATCAAACACAACGACCTCACCAAGCTGTCGCCCATTGAGTTGTCAAGGGATGCGGTCAGCCAGGTTGATGCTGTGAAGTTCTTCAAGGGATTTCTGCAGCTCAGGCCGACACTTTCTTTCATCCCTGGATCGTTCCTGGCACTCAAGGCTCTTAACCGATTCCCCACGCTGGACTCTTTGAAAGAGCAAGCGACTCACCTCGATAACGATCGCAAGGAACACGGCTACGATCTTCCTGCCGTGGATGCGAACGGGATCGGGGAAGCGGCCGCCTTTCGCAACGAAGACGACGATGAAAATACCCCGTTGATGCGCGGGTGGGTCTCGTTCATGAAAGCGATGGCTGAGACCTACCCCGGGCGATGCGTTAGCGTCGATGATACGCTCAACTGGGGAGCCAGCGCCCCTATGACCTATGAGGACGGTGCGGGGCAGACTACCATCCGCCCGACTGATGGATGGGTGTATGTCCCCGCGATGAATTCGGACATTTACGATCCTCAGGAAACGTTCCTTCGCGGAACAAATCTCCGATACCTCTGGTCGATTCTTGCACACGGAGGTCTGTTCGGGGAGGATTACGTGACGGACGATCATGGAAGTCACGAACCCTGCGTCTGGGTGACTGGACACGCTTCCGAGGCTGCCAGTAGCTACGCGTCTGGCACATACCTCGGCGGAGGATACTGGTTCCAAGTGATGATCTGTGTCTCCCGGACTGTGGTGAACAGCCACGGTCGCACGACGAAGAGGCTGGGGGGATCCCAGAAACAGATCCGCGTCGGAACTCGATTCCTCGAGCTGTGCGGGATCGCGTTCAGGCCCTTCCGCCTTCTGGATGACCGCGAACAAGGGGTCTCTACCTCTCCGCACTACGTCATCCACGGACACCGATTCCTCAGTACCGATGGGACCAAAGCCGTGGCCTGGCACCCATGGATGGAGGCGAGCCCGATCGATCCTCGCACTCTGAAGCTGCTGGGAGACAGCGTCGCTCGCGATAGTGTCGAGTTCGCCGACCTCACGATTCAGGGGGGCAACGCTACCCAACAGGTTGCTTCTACCGAGACAGAACAATCTGGAGCGACCGCGGCTGATGATCAGGCTGCAGCGGGTGGCAGTGAGGCAACGGAGCGAGTCACTGCATGTCCACTCAGCAGTGCTTCGACGCAATCACTGGATGCCCGACTCTCACGGGACCAGTGAGCACGCGACTGTCGGTGGCAGGTATGCCTTGCTATCCGAACTTCAGTCCTCCAGCTACCGATTCGAGCTTGCTCCATTCTTCCAGCTTCGAGCACCCATCCTGGGAGAGGAAGGAAGCCAAGGTTTGCCAAAGCCTGCAAGGCTCGAGACAATTGTCGGAGGACCCTCCAAAGAATGGGAGGCATGGTGCAGACACTACCGAAAGGCATACTATGCTCGGAAATTTCGGCTATACGCCCGCCAAGAGCGTCAAGGGTATCCCGTACGGCGAAGAAGGAACAACGGATATCATTAGCGCGCCTGTTTGGAGCCCGGCCGATGCACTTGTGGCCGTCTCGATCCATGGAGTCAGAACGGTCACGACCATGGCCTCCACGATTGCATTTGGGGGTGCTCCGCCAACGATCAAGCCGGCGGTACCCAGCAAGCCGCAGAGATTCGTTGTCATGCACGATGGCCTGCTGTCCTTCAGGTCTGCCAAGTCCTGGCACGATGGTGAGATGAACGCCCATCTGAAAAGCGCGCTGACGAGCTTTGGGTTCCCTGATTCCGAGGTGCGCGTGCAGGCGTTTGGTGAGGACAACAAGCTCAAGGATATGGTCGACACGCTCGCGATGATGCAGAGCGAGACCTCCATCCCGCCATCGAATGTGCACATCCTCATCCTTTGGAGAGGAGAAGATCTGTGGAAGATAGACCAGGGCTGGAACAAGCTGACTGGTGACATCGACATGGCACGATCTCAATATGCCAAAACAACCGCCCGGGATGCTCTCGAGAAGTATAATACGATCTACGGATCGGTGTCCCTTTGCGGACCGGTGTCACCGAGCATGGTGCATCTTCCGACTCTTCCTGGCCCTCTCTTCGAGAAATACAGAGAGGAGATGAGATCAATCTGGGACGAGATCAGGAGGTCCAACTTCCTCACTCTGTCGTTTGACGCTATCCTGGAAGGTCTGCCGTACCTGAAGGGATATCACATCATGCATGAATCCAAAACGATTGGGGTCCTGTGTACTCGTATCTGCTCGATGTTCACACTTGCGGCTCTCGCACGGTTTCCGTCTTACGGGACACGCCGGGAGTATCAGATCGCTGCCGATAAAATGTGGGCACGCACCCCAGTCCCGGAAGAGAAGTCGACGGGCACGGTGAAGGCCATTGTGCACTCCACAGTGCAGGACCTCATCGATGGTGCAGATCGCGGCGCCGATCATCAAGCCGCAGAGACTGTCGATATGAGTCGGCTTGGCTTCGATGATGACGACGATGACGATATGCCTGACGACGTAGGTCCGACAGCTCCCGGGAATCCGATCAAAGAGGAACAGGGAACATTGGCGGATCTACCGGGTGTTCGTCATCCGGATCCGATTGAGTTGCCAGCTACTCCTGTGCCTGGCGAGGCAATGCCAGTGTCGCCCGGCCTTGCTCCGGCTGCTACGAACGATGAAGAATCTAGCAGCAGTTCCGATGACGACGAACAGCAAGGGGATGGTGATGCGGCGATGCCCGCAGTCAAGAATGAGGAGTTCAATGGGCTTCTCGAAGGAATGACTGAGGCATTCGGGAAAATGCCTACTCCTCGGGATGCCGAGCGAACTGTCGCTGCCAATCGGAACGCTGCACGACCACCTGCCGTGCCGTCGATCCCTCTCTCTACGATGAAGAAGCCAAAGCCAATTGGTGGCGAGGAAGCCGCGGGGCCCACCGCCGAGAATCGACAAGGTTATGCGCACTTCGAAAGCCAAGTCAGTGAAGCTGAAGCTCGCCGCGAACAGGCTGCGACAATGAAAGCGCATATCGCTGAAGTGGCAAAGGGCGCCACCGGTGTTGAGAATGCCGAACATCTTCGATCCATTGCCGATGGGCTAGCCAAGATCTTGGACCCGAACATGAGCGATGACAATGTGTTCCAGGGTGCCTTGTATCCTCCGGGTGACTATGCGCTTGACGCTGTCACGAACCGACTGGCTCAAGGCAGACGTCGGGTCGAATCGAACAGCAATCTCATCAGGGAGATGGCCAGCGACCGATTCACGCCTGTGCTCATCAACCGAGACACTGGTGAGACTGTGTCTGCCATCGATGCACGATGGACCCCGGAGTATGGAAACAGGGGGGAGCTTGAAGCTAAGGTTGGTGCGATTATTTCCAACCTGGATGCAGTGGTTGCAAGCATGTCAACCCTCCCTGTGTTCCATCCGCACATTCCCTCGACGTATGGTATGGCTCGATCGCTTCTCAACACATACCAGTCGTTGCAGATTGCCATCCGACACCGTGGCATGGGTGCGATGTCCTTCGAACAGATGGTGTTCAAACCAGAGCTCATTGCGCCTACCCCCGGAAAAGTCATTCAGTCCATGCGGGTTGCCCTGGTGAATAACACAGCGGCGAGGTTGACGAGAGAGGACCTCAAGCTGCCACCGGGCTTCGCCATGCAACGACGAGTGACTGAATTCCGCAAGCCGGAAGAAGACCCGGTGCAGAGCCTAATGGGACTCACCGATGACTTGAGCTATGGCACTATCGGCCGAACTGGGGATGACAGGTTGTCCCAGTTCCATCGCAGTGTTGCGGTACAGCTGCGAAACACTGCAGGTTTCATTGCGAGCGAGTTCCAGAGGCATGCCCGATCTATTGCCGCTTCCTCCTCGCGTCGCAGTGACGCCTCAGGCGCCCTGAGTAGTCAGGGTGAAGGCGCGGCGGACAACGATCTTCTGTCCACCGAGCAGGCCAGTGCCGCATCTGGGCGTACGGCAACGCCGCCCCCGCCAAACGTGGCTCCTCCTCCTCCGCCTACAGCGGCAGCACCTCCGAGGGCGTCCGAAGAGAGTGCAAAGGAGGATGACGATGATACCAAGATGGATGATGACACGGCCGATCAGCTGCCTGAGCAGAAACCCGAGGAGGACTCAGATATGGGTGGCGGAAAGGAGCTGCATGACGAGGTCCCCGGCAAGGCCCCGCCACCAGCTGCCCGAACCGCTGAGAACCCTCCGGAACTCGGCGTGCGTTCCAGTTCTCCGAATGTCATGCCTGCTCAGGGAGCCGTGCTCTCCGGTGCTCGAGGACCGGATGTCGATATTGACCCGGCCAGCACCACAGCCGATCAGGCGGCAAATGATCCGAGAAACTGCCGGATCGAGGGCCCTGGCATCAAGGCGACAACGATCCATCGCCCTGATCAGTTGCCCGAAAGGGGTATTGACTCCATTGCGCCGATCGTGCAGTACGAAATGACGTCTGTCCCGATTGCACTGCCAGATTTCGTCGTCCCAGATCGAACTCCACATGGGCATCGATGACTCCGTCCATGGTCGATTGGTCTCCGCGACCTGTCTCCCACCGACCGACGAACAGCGCAAGTATTCGAGGCGCCGATTCGCCATGCTGTCCTCGAATCAGACAGTGTACTTGAACATGGCACTTCACAAGAAACCTGTCAAAGGAGACTACGATTCTTTCCTCCGACCGGAATCTTATGAGGACTGCCGCGAGATTCATGAAGCTGTCCGGGCCTACAATGCCAAAGAGGCAAAATACCGATCTGTCGGCGGAACATCTGTGTCATGCAGCCGATTGCTTATTGATGACGCACAAAACATCCCTGCCGCCAGGATTCCGGACGCAGGCATGATCAGTTTGGTGCGTAAGCTGCTGTTCCGAGTGCTGACGCAGACGAAGGAGTATCCATCCGCGACTGCCGTCAGAACACAGAATCGCCCCCAGGATCAAGAGAGGGGCGTTCCCTTGTATTCATACCTCGACCAGAGTGGCATCATCGCTTTCGGTGTCATTCCGATGTACATGGAACGCGAGAGGGAATACATGAAGGCCAACGCTGGCGAATTCAGCGGCCGGACGCTTCTCCAGACAAGCGTTCTGGATGATGACGATAAGCCGAGCGAGCTCACCGTCCAGTGCATCATGGAGATTGCTCGGACGGACAACAACCGAATGTTTGAGTTCTTCTATTCGACGATCGACAACGATGGAAGTCCTCAATTTGTTGGCATCCGAGCAACCTATGGTTTCGGTCCCGATAATTTCAACCGATTCCGACTGCTGATCAAGTGTCAGCACGGGCCATTCATTCAGCTCGCTCAAGACCATTATGTCAGCGGCGAGAGGAGACGAAATGTGGCCCGATACCATCCTCAGTACGGATGGGGATGCGCAACGATTCGCGAGTTCTTCGGATACATGAACGATTGCAAGATCAATCCCCCGAAGGGGCAGCTCTTCCTCACATTGCTCCCGTATGCCCCTGGATCTGGGAAGAACAATGAGTGGGAAGAGGTGTACATGAACGTCCGAATGAACCCGGGACGTGAGACGCTCTCGAACACCGCGTCATCACAATGCATGCTCCCCGAAGGAATGGGATCCAACCGCATGATTGTTTTTGCCATTGATTTGCACATGATTGCGGCGGGTATCAACCCGATTACTTTCCATCCGAGAGGGTACTATGCGATCAAGGACAGTATCCCTCTCGCATGTATGCCGATTGCATACTTCATGGATACGGGATCTCTAGTGTTCAACACGGCCTTCAAATACATCGGAGGTCCGAAGTTTGGCACTGGCCCTAAGAGAGGAGACCACAAACGAGAAACGTGGCCACTCGCTAGCTTCGACTGCCCCATGTGCGGAGCTTCATTCCCGGTTGGTCTCCACATGTGCCACTCTTGCACTAAGCCGATTCACTATCCTGATGGGATGTTCTACGCCGATCCTGTGAACCCCTTCCAGGTTGAATATTACGGAAGTCATGCTGAGTGGCTCAACGATCTGATCGAGCGAAACGAGCTTACCGAGTTCCAGCTTCACGAGTTTCCTGCGATCAAGCAGCTGAGGAATTTCCCGGTGTCTAGGTCTCTCGCTGAGGACCATAGGCAAACCGCATTCTTCGGAGTGCCGCCGATCAAATGCACCGCAGCTGACACATCGCCGAAGGAAGTGGAACTGTTCAAGAAAAGCGTGCGCGGTACGATTCAAGGCGCCATTCGCTTAGACATTTCCATTGAGAGGCTTGTTGCCGGTATCACTGGCAAGGAAGCTCGATGTGGCGTGGAGGACTTCTTCAACTCACAGTCGATCGCATGTGCTGCCACGCTTGTCAAGCACTTTGGAGCGGTCTTCGCCACATGTCGCGAAAAGCCGCTGTGCTACTATGCACGCTGGTCGATCCACTGCCAGCGCGCATACCGAGTCTGCCTGTCGCGAGGATATCTCTCCCCCTTTTACACAGGTGGGACGGTCGATTACACCATCGACCCAGAGATGGCAGAAAAGATTCGACTTGCGCATCTGCCCTTGCAGAACGCCAATCTGGCGATGAGGCGGCTCATTCGACTCTCCACCGAGTTTGGAACGTTGGATGAATTCCGTGCCACTATCACGAATACTACGCAAAAGTATCAGCGTTACATGCGTGTCGATAGTGAGAGCCTTTCCGCGCTCCTGGCCAAGGTTACCCTTACCACATGCTACGGCATTCCGATGAAAGGTGAGCCTGGCTATATCTCTGACGATGAAGCAGAGGAGATCGAAGGAGCCGCAGCGGCGAGTGAGAAGCCCAAAGGGAAGGGCAAAGGGGAAGATGAGTCCGACATCCAAGCCATCAACTGGCGTGAGTTGGACCCTTTGGGACGGAAGCTCATTCCGCACCACTCTGACCCCCGATTCACGATTGTCGCTGAGGGGAATACGGCACTCCTTGATGCAGCCGAAACGCCGGATGAGACGCGTAAGGAATTCAAGGAGTTCGTTCGCGATCACGCCCTCAAGATAAAGGAATGCTTTGACGATGATCGTGAAACAGAGAAGACATTCTTCAATCTTGTTGAAGGAGTGAAGGATCAGCTCCCCGATGCTAAGAGCACTGACCCGCTTCTGATGAAGAGGACTGAGGATGTCTTCGAGGCTCTACCCGATGAACTGGATGAACCTCCGAGATTGTTCGATGTTGCAGCTCGACAGGCACGACGGCGTGACACTACGCCTCAGCGCAGAGTGCAGGTCACCGAGCAAAGACAAGCGCCGATTCCCGAGGCTCATGCCGTCCCCATTCCTCCAGATGACGAGGATGAGGATGATAGTGAGCTCGAACGGGCGGTCCGACCCGGTCCGACATCACAACGCCTTGGACGAGAACACCTCGGAGGCGTCGCTCCTGAGACGTTTCCGCCTCCGCCGCGTAACATGCCGCCGCCGTCAAATTTGCCGACTCGAAAGTCACATCGGCAAACGGGCTACAGCGCTGCTCATCCTGATGGAGAACCGCTAAGGGTGTCGGGGAGGGCAGCATACTCCGATCAGATGCAGTTGCCCCCGGTGCTGCGAATGAAGACTCGGGTTCCAGAGTCGGATCTGGATAACCCAACGATTGAGGAGATCATTCGCATGTATCATGCACCGAACACGCTTTCCATCATCAGGAAGAAGGCCGCGGGTGTCATAATCGCGATGAGCGCGAATCCTGATGACGATGTCAATATGAGGGCGGCTGGTGTGACTGTTCCCCATACCGAGAATACGGGGACGGGACGAGCAGCCTCGCCCGGTAGCACATCTGCTGCTACTCAGGAGCGGATTAATCCCCATGCACCAGGCGTTCGCACTGCGTCCAATCCACCGTCGAAGTTGCCGCGCGATGAAAAATGGGCTCCCTCGATTGTGCGACCAGCGCCGGCTCAGGTGATCAAAGGTGCGGAAGCACGGGGACGCACGCAACAGCGTGCTGCTGAAGCAACGGATGTTGCTCCGCCAGCTCCCTCCGATACTGCTTCGTCGGAGCCACGATCTCGAACGATGGGCCCGGCCAAAGAGACAACGGCCAAAGGCAAGTCCCGAGCTGGATCCAACGTGACAGGCCTCATCGATGAAGCTGATGACGTGAGGCAGCCGACGAAGGGCAAAGGAAGAGGGAAAGCCGAGAAGGGAAAAGGAAAGCAGGAAAAAGGCCGAGGAAAGGGCGATAAGGGAAATAAAGGAAGGGGCGGTCCTGGACGAGGAAATAAGGACCGTACCCGTAGCCGCCGTAGCCCCACCAGTCGTAGGTAACGACCGTCGACCTATACGTGGCGACGTATTGTGTCACTGCAAGGTGAATCCGGTTGAGTCTTTCTGACCCACACTTCACGCATCTACGGGGTCAGGCGGATTCTGATGGTGAAACCCGGCTATGACGCACTTTCCGCTACTTCCTCAGCCTTCCTTGCCTGCGCCGCGCTGAGAAGACCCACAGGGGCACAATGGCTAGCCATGGTATTTTCCTCGTGTGTCCGTCTCTTTTCACGGACACTCGATGCTGCCGAGTCTACACTCTGAGCGCGTTGAGTCTAGTGTGTTACCCCCGCATAGATCCGATGGAACATCCGATTGCCAACGATCACACGGCAATTCGCTATGCGCCTGACGATCACAAAAGGCTGCGTATGTACAGAAGTGAAACATAGGTTTGATCCGGATGCAGAGGCCGACCCACATCTAATGGTTCTTATTGCTTTAAGCTTAGCTGACCGGAAGAGGTGTGGCTCGGTGCACAAACAGTGTACGTGACTCTCCTAAACTCCGCTCTCCTCACGCGTGAGCTCGCGTCGAGGGGGGTGTGATTTGTCACGGACATGCGTACATGTGCTTCTGTGTCTTGGTTAGGATTCACGCCAACTTTGTTTCACTACGCAGCTTGACTGCTCAAGGACCGCTTTGCGAGTCCCAGGAAAAGACCGCTTACAGCCTGGGGGTTGTAGGACCTGTCTTCTACCTGAGCGTCAACCTTACGGTTTTAATCTCTGATCATCCTTGCTTTGCTTTGCTGCTTTGCCTTGATCTACGATTGGTTGCCTTGGGCTTTGTGACCGAGAGTTGAGTGGAATCCTCCGCTTTTCACACAGGGGTTTCGTCCAATCGGATTGGTCCTTGACGCATGTTTTTTTACATTCTCACGTTCGGCAGAAAACAAATCCAGGAGCTTACAGGAAGCACGCATCGGCAGTGAGAACGCAACGCAGATTCAGGGCCAGCAGTGACTGATTCGCACGAATCTAGTGAAGCTGTCATCTGATAAGAGCATTCGAAATGCTCTGTCGTAGCCTGCTGTCAAACTCCAAGCCCTAGAGGAGGAAAACTCAAACGGCTTGGCTTGAAAGGGTGCTCCGGTTTTTCAGTGTGAGAAGGGCTGGTCCATCAATCTTCTTGCAAGGGGAGCCTCCATGTGTATGTGTATGTCGTAGTGTCCGAGGAGCTTGCACCCTGCTTCCACGAGCTGGGAGATCTGCATTGGCAAGAGACTCATGCAGCTCCTCCTAATGCGTGCTGTTGTAGCTTTCACGACGCAGTTTCTGAGGATGTACTGCCACAATCGGCTTCTGCCTTATTTCAGCGAAGCCAGCAAGGTCCGGCCGGGTCCGGCGGCCGCTGCATCTGTGTTTCTTTTTGGCCCAGCCAGGTCCTGGAAGAGCTCCCGACGGAGGCGGCGCAGCGGAGTCGCAGCGGAGCCCTCCCTCGCGCTCGCGCCTTTCGCCTCGTAGGTGTTGGCCTCCTCCCGGTCTCTGCGCCGCTTCGTCACGGGAGGGGTTGGCCGGACGGCGCCCTCGGCAGGGGGCTCAGTCTGCGAGCAATCTTGGGGATGTGCTTCTCGGTCTTAGCGCCTCACCTCTTCGCCTCAGGCGCTTCCGGTGCCTTCCCGGTTTCTCGGGAGGGGCCCAGCACTGCCGGACGCCGAGGAGATCTCCAAGGCCGCCAGGCGCCGGACCGGACGAGCCGAGCCCAACAGCGGAGTGCGAAGTGGTGCCTGGCAGGGCTCTCCGAGCCAGTCGCTCCGAAGCTGCCTTGAGGCTCAAGCGCCGCCCCATGTCGGAGAACCCTTAAACATCCTTGAGCTTCCTTGGGCTCTTGCCGCACAGGACGGGCGAGCGACCTTCGAACGCGTCAAGCCGGCACCCCAGAAAACTGCGAAGAACAAACTGAGAGTGCGTGACTCCTGCGCGCATCTCTGCCCTCCGCCCTGCCGGCCTTGCAAGGTGGTGCCAAGGCCGCGGCCAAGCTGCTGCTGTCGAAGTCAGGAGACCTCTCGGCGGCCTCTCGTGCCGCGTCGTGAGAGCGGCAAACAAAACTCATGGCTTAGAGTCTTAGAGGTTCCTCGCGAAGCGAGCGGACTTTAGAATCTGTCAGTCACTTGTCAAACAGGTGCTGGCCGTAGATCGACGCGTTCGCACTGCGTCCATGAACAAGCTTTGCATTCCACTTTTCGTCCGATTCGAGCGATTTCACTGGCCTTGAGCCTTTGCTGTCACGACTATTCGGGGAGGAATTTCAAGCCTTCTTCGAAGATGCCGCGGGCTGTGGAAAGGCCTGGGCCTGGGCTTGAGACTGCTCTCCACATTACACAGTGACAGGTGGCCTGCGCAGCACTGATCTCTTCTGCCAAGAGCCAGTGCGTGCATCCGGAAAGGAAGGACCCGTACCTCTGTGCGGGCCCCGAAGGCAGACCGAAGGCCCCACAGGAAAAGGGACGCTTCTGGGGAGGCGGTGACTGCCCACGGAATTTCAAGACCGTCGACTTCGACGACAAGGCCAGGGCCAGTCGGGTATTGTATGATTGTATATGATAACTCATCATAAGAACACTAAGATATTTTATATGCTACTGTTTTGTAGGTGTGGCTAGTCGTTTACATGGCACCTTCTGGCCAGGTCTGCGCGGCAGCGGCTTTCGTGTCCTCAGCGAAGAGCCAATGTGTGCACCCGGAGCGAAAGGATCCCTATCTCTGTAGAAGCCTCAAGAAGCTTCAAAGCTTGAAGCTCGGCCCCTGCTTTGAAACGAAACCGTGCTGAGGCGGTGACTGTCCTCGCAACGGCTTCGCCAAAGCCCAGACAGCGCCAAAGAAGGACGCCCGGTCCTTGGGAGAATCGGAGACTATATGTGGGTTTCCGAAAATAGGGGACCCTAATATAGTACCCTAAATAGTAGGGTCCTTATTATTATACGGACCCCCAAAGTAAGGTACCCCTCATCTTCGGAAACTCCCATATAGACCCGGAGGAGCGCTGACTGCGCCAGGTCTGCGCAGCGGCGGCCTTCGTGTCTTCCGCCAAGACCCAGTGCGTGCATCCGGACAGGAAGGATCCGTATCTTTGCCGGGGCCTTAGAGACATAGCTCCAGGCTCCAGGGAGTGATGGGAACGGGGCCGTCTCAGTTTCGACTCCAGGTGGAGACTGCCCTAGGAATCCAAAGTTCAGCAATCTCTGACTGGGCTCCGAGCTCAGTTCGAGTTCTTCCTGCTCTATCGGTGCCCATGTCACAGCGGCAAGATTTTGTGCGGCCACGTTTCATGCTTACGTCACTACACGCATGCTCAGAGAGAGACAGCTTGTGAGAGTGTGTTGCAGTTCTGCCTGCACCGTCATATCCCAGCCACCATCCCTTCGATAACGAAACGAAGACATGGCCATGGCATTGCCTCTGCTCTCCGCGAGCCGCCGCTGGGATGTGGAGCTCTTGGAAGGCGGAAGCGACGGCGAAGAGGAGGCCGCAGAGGCCCCAGGGCCGCAGAGAGGCACTCCGTGGTAGAAACGGTCGACGGTGGGGTTTGGCCTCTGCGCAGGACTCGGGGCCTCGCCTTCCCTGGGGCATTCGGAAGACGCTCTTGCAGGAAGGTGCCTCGGAAGACCGTCCGGTGACTGGCGACGAGGCCCGCGGAATTCGTTTCCGTTCCCATGTTCGCTTGCTGTGCTGTTCTATTTCATCCCATGCCCATCGTCATCTTAATAACGTAATCATATGTCTGATGTCCTTCCTGGCTGTGATTGACCTTGCGCCGGTTTCGTGTTGATTTGCAGGCTGGCTACATGATGATGCAGTCTGATGTGTATATTCTGTATTCAGTGTAGTCATGTCATGTCCATACCCTGTATAAGGATCCACTGTTCATGTCGTCAAATGTTCATAATCATCTCCGGACTTCACACCGTTCTGATTGCAACAATCTCGGACAATTGCATCCTGGGCACCCGTTCCAGTCTCCCAAGTAGGTAAGTAGGCAAATGGGGTGACAGCCTTTGTAGAGAAACAAGCAAAGCTGGATATTCGTCTGATAAGTCAGAAGAAGAGAAGCAACGACTCAGTTTGCATTTTTGTGTGAGAGTGGCATGACACGGCAAACCTGGAGGGACGGCGGGGCAAGAATTACAGTGTTTGTCTCGACAGAAGACCGAGAGTACGTGCGGTTCGGGGTGGCGGGCTGGGTGCGGGGCGCGCAGAAGCCCATTCCGGTGTGAGGTGGCGGCCAAGGTTTCGTAGCGAGGCAAGATGGACCAGACACACCTTTGTCATTGTCTGACAGAGTGAAGAGTCCTGAATTGGGATCGCTGGACAGGTGAAAATTCACTTTGATGTCCGGCTTCTGGATGGGACAGCGATTGGCTCGTCCAAGGAGAGCGGTCCCTTCGAGTTCGTGGTCAACCAGAGGCAGATGCCGGCCGCCTCTTGACGAGTGAGCCCGTCCAACATTTAGCCAGCTGACGCAGAGGCCCCGGGAGATCATCCAAGGCTTGGAGATTGCTGTGCAAACAATGAAGCAGCCCAGAGGCAGTAGCGTGCAAAATGCCTGCAGTGTTCCGTGCTCGCCTTGAGATTTAACTGAGGAAAGGGGAAGCATGGACCTTACCTGCCTCCAGCCATTAATGCACGGGTCAGTTGACTCCCGGCTGTTGCACCGAGGTAGCAGAATTTACGATCGCACCCAGATTCGCGTACGATGACCTCGGCTCACCTCCTCTTGTGCCCCCCGACGCGACGCTTGTATTCGAAATCGAGCTCCTACAGTGGCAGAACAAGTTGGACGTACTTGGGGATGGCCGTCGATTGGTTGCAGATGGACATTACACGTTACAAGCTCACTACATGACTGAGAGAAGTGAAGCGGCTCTTTTCAGAGTCATCGTACTCCAAACCACCAAACGCAGCAGACAGAGGTTGTCCCGAGAAGCTGCCGTATCCTGACACTGTGACGAAACGGCAGCGCGAGCATGAGAGCCTTTTCACGGTATCTGTTTCCGAGTGGGGTGCGAGCATCATGAGAACCAACGTTCCGTAGAAGCTCTGTCCGAGGGCAAGGCAGGAGCATCATGAGCTTCAATGGTGGAGGAGCCACCAGCCACCGTCTCTCAGGCAGCAAAGGAAGCGGCGAGAGCAAGCACAGAAGTCCGAGGCTTTGGTGTCCCAAAGGCTCCTCAGCAGTTTGGAAAATCCCACCACCCAGGACAAGGACGGAAGAAGGATTCTATCTTGGCCAGGTGCCACCGTGTGCCACCTGCATGTGGGGTCGTCAGAAAGACTGTCAAACTGAACAAATGGAAGCCTGCACATGGGGTAAGCAGAAAGCGCAAACAACCCGAAGGGTGGTGGGGACGGGAGACCTACAAGCCGTAAGGGCTACAATACAGTGGGAGCATCTTGAGAATCAGTGCGTACTTTCAGCATCCGTACCCAGTCCACATTTCCTCCAGTGGCTGAGCTGCAGCTGACAGTCTGGAGGCGAGCATCAAAACTGTTGGGGCCCACGAAGTTGCTCGCAAGCGCAGGAATAGTGGGAGACGCGCCCCACATACAGGGTAGCCATTGAGATTGTGTGAGCACAAGTGCTGCTTGGCCCATGAGGTGCCATCAAGACGATCCAGCAAAGAGGCTCTGGAAGCACCAGGCCACGACGGGGCCAAGATGTCGCCGCTTGGATAGGATGTGCAGGAGCACGCCCACCTCTGCGGGAACCTGAGAACCCGGGTTCCTTAGGTCGTCTCATTGGAAATCACCTCCCGCAAAGGGGAGGTGCTTCAAAAGAAGAGTGCGACAGATCATGTTGCCAGGGCCTCGAAGACTCGAAACCAGGCCTGGAGGGAAAGCCTTCTCGCGGCTGAGGTTGGCGAGAAGGACTTCGGGCCCGTCTCTGACATCATTTCGGAGGTGCTCCAGACCATGGTGGCAGGCGAGCGCTGCAAGGCCGTCTGCTTGAATTGGCTTGCAGTGATCTCCGGCGTGTGGCTGCTTGTGTTAGGTGCTCCTTCGAAGGTTTGCGGGCGACAAAATCGTGGCACTTGGGCTGCGATCTGGACTGTCCATGCTTGTCTTGCAGGTGTTCCATACATGTATGCTGCCCGAGGACTCGGCTCACAGTGGCGCTACTGTGGACGTGCTCCTCGAGCGTGTCGGCTGCACATCGCGAGCTCTCTAAATGTCTCGCATCTGCCCGGCTCGGAGGCGAGTGTATGTGACGTCAGACCTTCTGCCCGAGCAGAGTGGCTTGCTCATCAAGAAGCTGCTTTCAGATGGAATCGAAGATCCGCCCCGAGATGCGGACCTGGTAGAATTGAGGGTGGACAGAGTGTTCGCCGCTCGAACCGATTCTAGAAGTCAGGATTGCTGGTGTGAGAGCCAATATGCAGCATCTTTTGAGACACAGAGCACGGGTGCATACCAAGACCGGCCCACAGCCGACGCAGACAGTTCTCCTTGAGCCGAAAGTGCTGTCGTTTTCTCTCGGCAGTGGGGATGTCTGCGATGCGTTGGACTTTGCCGCAGCAGCGATGCAAGTCGGCGAAGAGGCCGGGATGCGATTTTGAAGGACGGTGTCTGGTGTAGAGCTCCGATGCTTTGTAACAGGCCAAGATCGTTTGCAGAAGCCCGCTGAATTTTTCCGATGTACAGCTCGGCTTGGCATCCGTGCTTGGTGCTGCATGTGGGACCTCTGGCAGTTTCAGTGATGGAAGCCTCGTGTCGTGAGCTCAGGATTTACTGGAGGTCACACTTCAGGTAAAGCTCCTGAGCTTGGACCTCGGCTCGAGAAAGGGGGGTGTCCGAGCGAGATGCCCCGCCGTGCTTTGCCCTTCAGAGGTGTGAGGAGAGAAAGCCCTGGCCCTGGCCTCCTCCTTGCAGAGCAGTGCAAGGACCGTGCGGCCAAAGCCTTCAAAGAAGGGCGTTCAGCTCTCAGCTGCATACAAGGGATCAGGGCGACCAGGGACTGCCGCGATGAGCTTTGCCTCCAGGCTACCGCTTTGCTTTGGAAGTGTATCGGAGGCTGGGCCGCTGGGCTCTTCTTGGCTGCGACCCGTGTGCAGCCTGCAGGCTCAAGGTTGCTTTTCATCGGGACGAGGCTGCCAAGCAATTCTGCAATCTCTGCGAGCTGAACCGTGCGGCGTGTGCGGGACCCTGTAAATGCAAAAGATGTGCTGACGTGCTGTCGCCACTGGCTGCACAGGTTTCCTGAAGATCGGGAGACCCCACGAAGCTCGCAAGGCATGCTCGTGCGTGCTAGATCAGGATCCTGAGAATCAGAAGGCCGCGGAAGTGTTCTGCAGAAGTCCAGAAAGCGGAATGTTTCATACACGTTTCTGCAGGCACGCTACCGTCGCGCGTGCCTCGCCTCGTCAAGGGTGGACCGGGTGATGAGCTGCTGTGCGCGCGCGCGTGCGCGCGTGCGCGCGCCTGTCTGTCTGCGCGCTGCTGAGCGCAGCATCGCAGAGGTCGGCAGAGTTTCAGCTCTCGAACTACTCCGCAGCCTTGCACGACCTGCACGCATTGCTGAAGCAGCAACCGACGAACAGCCGCACGGCAAAGCGACAGTGGTGCTCGAGGGCCTTCCATTCCTGCACATGTGCAGCACCGTAGCCGTGAGGGGACTTCGCAGTGTTCGCATCGAGGCGAAGCGCGGACCCTCGCTGATCAAGTGCGCAAGGCGCAGCGCGCCTACTCACAGGAGGCCCGAAGCAGTAAGCGAAGTCGAGTATCTGTCGAGTGTCCGTGGCATCCATGTGCATCCGCATGCATCCGTGTACATGGCTTCCCCTGATAAGATGCGAAGGCCAAAGCCGCTGCGGCTCGCATGCTGGGTGACAGAAGTGATAAGACCGCAGCCCAAGAAGGACCTTTGAGTGAACAGTGATTGCATGTGTCCTCGCAGCATCTGAAGCCACACTTCCAAGCTGCAGGAGACAGTGAGGACGGCTCAGAATCGGCCCTTTGGCTGGTCGCGTTGGTCCGTCAGTGGCCTCTCTGTACTCCACAGCAGCCATCCGGAACCCGAGGCCTGTGTCCGGTTTCGAGCGCTCGCAAGGAATCTGCTGCCGTGCTTGCCGAGCTTGCGCGCGTTGAAAACTTGAGTCCAAAAAGGAGAGCCCCAAGCTGTGTTGCGCCGCTGTAACAGCCGTGATGCACAAGCAATGAGGACCAATTTGGTTTGGTGTCTCGCAGAGTCTGTGCTGCCAAGGCATCTCCGGTCAAAAGTGCAAGGTGATCTGAGGCGATTTTTCAGCAGCTGCCTGCTTGCAGGGGCTCTCAAGACTTTAAGTCACTTGAGCAAGCTTCACGTTCAACTCGTTGGTGCTTCAGAAGCGGGCAGTGTTGGCCTTGCATTCGCGTTTCACATTGGGAGCAGGTTGCAGACTGCGAATTTTCCAAGAGGCAGTGAGTCGCTCTTTTGACTTCCGGTCTTGGCCCATTAGATTTGATTTGCTGTGTTTTCATCTCTGCCAAATTCACGAAGTGTCGCCCTCAACAGCGTATGTGCCATGTGTTCCGTTGCAACTGCAGGGCCGAATCTCTTGTGCGCCGGCGTGTGCCGTGGTGACTTCCCAGCTCGAAAGAGGCCTCGAGGAGGCTCGAGGGCCCCGATTGCTGAGCAGCACACCTGCTCTGCAGCGTGTGTCGGGCTTTCAAAGACCACAGAAAGACCCCAAAGATGCGCCCCGTCCGATTAAAAAGGAGGGAAGACCGGAGTGGTGTGCGGAGCTAGACGACGTGAGGCCTCGTTTGAACATGTGGGACCGTTTAGCCCGCGACAACCTCAACCGTTCGGACACACAATCCCACACTCTGCTTCATTATCCCATCGAATCTCAACCCGTACCAACCTTTTCCAACACTGGTGCCGCAGCACTGAGCCGTGATTTTGAGGTGGGAAGTTGTCCTGACTTATTGAAGTTTGGGGCGGTGAGCGTGGGGAGTTGTTTTCTAGCCTGGCCTGGCAGTAGCTCTCACCGCCAGGTCACGGTTCCAACGCTGATCATCCATGGAGATCAGGACGAGGTTAGCATAGCTGAGCAACTCTCATCACTGGCCTGTGCTCATGCACAGCCTGTCCGCCTGCGCCAGATCAGCCCCGTGGAGCAAGCGCGCCTGCCGGGTTTGGGCCTGGACCAGCACCGCTCCGCCTGCTCCTAAGCTTGGAGCTGGTTGACATGGTCGTTGTTGACAGGCCGTGTGCGCACACAAAGCTTGTAGCTCAGAGCGGAAGCTGGTACGGCCAGAGGCTCGGTGTGTACTAATAGCATTCAAGTTGAATGACGTTTTCAGACATTTTGCAGAAGAGCCTCACCGTTTTGCAACCGGTGAGCTCTCCAAAATAGTTTTGGCAGCGGTCGGTTCTTTCTCCTCAGTGCACTAGACAGAAGAAACGACTGGCTTGAGGGAATCCCATAGTTCTAGGTCGCGGCGACGGCCGCCGGTCCTCCTAGGGCTCTCTCCATCTCATCCCTCTCCAGGTTTGCCCCCATTGTTTCTGGCTTTCGTCTTTCCAGAGCTTCAGTGCCATGCCGAGGTACCCCAGGGCTGGGCACAACGACCTTCGGCTGCTTGCCAAGCGGGACCGGAGCTGAGCTTTCCTTTCTCCCTACACGGACATGCACGGAGCTCTGCATCGCCATCGCTGCTGGTGGCAGCCCTTGAGAGGAGTACTTCCAGGAGCTGAAGGCGCTTTGCACTCGGGTGGTCACCGGCGACTCCGAGGTCCGCCGCCCGGAGCCCCAGCCCGGAGCCCCCCTCCGCTTTCCGCCGCCGAGGCTTTGGCGGAGCCCTCCGGCCAGACGTGGCTGGGCATGATCAGCGACTTCATCAGCAACGGCTCAGCGCGGCCCTGAAGTGCTGTCGTGCAGCACCGCCTGCAAGAAAATTCGATGACTGCCGAGGCCCTGAAGTGCTTGCCCGGAGTACGGCGGTGCTTCGTCACCGACCCCGAGATGACAAACTCGCCTCGCTGAGACCCCATGCAGGACTGTCAGCGAGTCCGACGTGGCAACGTTTCTCCAAGCGCTGGAAAAAGCTGCCGCCTCTCCTGCTAGCTCCGCGCGCGAGATCCTGGAATCCTGGAACTTGAGCACTGGTTTCTGTTTGCTTAGAAGGCGGGCCTGGATTATGGTTTTGAGTTCAGTGACTGGATCGGGCAAGAGATTGTCGGCTGCACGGTCATACGGCCCAGAAGTCCAGGGAATCGGGAACCGGAAGTTAACTGACAAATGGCGTCACGCACATGTCATCTTGACGGGCACCTGATAGGCGGGAGAGAGGACGCCGAAGCAGGGACCTGTCGCCCTTGGGTTTCTGTGCTGTACGATGCCCTTTGAACGTGGCTCAGCAAATTGCTTTGAAACACAATGCCTCACGTCCTTGAGCTCTCTCAACAACGTCCCGAACCAAGCCTGGTGTGGGTGTGGTGGGATTCAAGTGAGCCCAAGAGCGCACTTCTCCACCAAACACACATGAAGCCGAGAACGCCCATGTACTGGACTAGCGGATCAGGAGGTGCATGCCAGGAGAGGAAACAAAAACGAAGCAACTGGTTCGTGAATCTTTGATTCTGGACGTCTTAGCCTTGCGCAATGGCTGCAAAGGCCAGAATTGCAGCGAATGCGTGCCTTGGGCGCAACAGGTCGAGGAAATACCGCTCGACAGCCCAACTCCGCGCTCAGTTGCTCATCCGATTGAAAGTCCTCGATTGGATGGAGGCGCATGTCTGCATCAGCGTTGGAGGTTCTGCTGCAAATGTTCTGAAACTCGAATGTGCGCAGGAAGCCAATTGCCCAGATTGCGACGTGCGGGGGTCTGAATGCAGTTGGCTGTTTTTTGCACCAAACAAGCCAGCCCGAGATGACTTTCTGTCAGGATTTGCTTGACTATCGTGCCCTCGAGGCTGACCGCTCTTGGAAGTAGACGTTGGGCTAGAAGCTCACATTCAGGATCACTCAGGAATCTTGCGTGCTGCAAAGATGGCAGGTGTCGCAGCCAGTTCATATGTGCCAGGCGAGCAAAACCCACTGTCCCCGATCGCGTAGCAGCAGCAACAAAATGTCTGCACAGGATAATGATAACGAGCGGCCGCTGACACAGGCCACGCAGCTGTCCTTGGAATATCTTTGACCCTTTGGCCTTGTGGAAGGCTCAGTTGGACCAAGAGATTTTGGTTGAGGAGGGCCAAGTACGCCAGGGATGTTGCAAGCTCAGCACAATGTCCTCGGGCATGCTAGAAGAGACGCGGAGCCACATGGCGTTCAGCCGTAGGTTGTGTGTTCGATTGGCTCGTGTCCTTCTTTTCATCTGAGCCTGCATTGCACCGGTAGATGCAGTTGGGATTCCGCGCCCGCCTCCATGAAGGCAGTCCGAGAAGGAAAATTACTGCGGAGATATGCAATAAAAGCGACTTGGGATTGTTGCACGACACGTTGCTGGGGCTTCACTGCGTGAGGGTTGCGCAGTGGAATCTTCTATTGACGGAGCTGCCTTGGATCGAGCCAGCGGCATCGAAAGGCAGCGTCAACTGTGGCATACCTACCTTCAACACCCTTAACTCAAAACCAGGTTGCCCGTGGCCATTTCCCGCTGCCAATCATGCGGCGAAAGCCGCTGAATGAGATGACCTATGAAGAGAAGGTGGCATACCTTCGTTACCTGCGAGAGAGGCGACGCCAGCAGCAGGACCCCCGAAGTCGGTTTGCAGGCATGTCGAAGTCGTTGTGCATGGTTGCATCTGGCAGGCCCAGCAGATGCAGGCCGTGCGATTAGATTGCCCGCCAGAGGGGGTGTGCATCATGCTGCGATGGAATCACAGCTCGTGCCAGGCGGATGTTTTCAAGAAGATTTTGCGGTCTTGGGCAGCTTTCTGAGAGCTTGCCTAGTGCTGCAGGCGCAGTCATGTTCTTCTGACGCCCAGGTGCGTGATTTCGCAGACTCTTGGACGTGCGGGTTGTACAGCCAATGTTGGGACCCGGTGCAAAGCTCAGGGTACGCAGCAGCGAAACGGTACGAAGACTGCATGACAGAAGCGATGACATGCCAATCCAACTGAGACCCATTACGTGGAAGAGGATGAGGTTACGGTGGTCTGAAGAAGCCCATTCATGGGGCAGTTTGAGTTCCGACCAGGCGTGACTTGGCATCGAGTTCGAATCTAGGGGCATGCTAGAAGTGCCATGGCCTAATTTACTCACATTGTTGCCGTGCGAATCTGTGTATAGTATTCAGAAGGTTGCGGCGCTTGCGCCGCAGTGCACATTGCAGGATCCCAAGCACAAATGCCGGGCGAAAAACACGAAGAAGAAGAAGGCAGTGGGCTGCACCTCGCGGGGTCTAAGGTTTGCGGCTTAGTACGCTTAGGGCTTTAAGGCTTGAGTCTTGAGTTGATGTCTTAAGCATCTTTAAGCTTTAAGCTTTAGGACTTACAATTTAGTGGCGTAAACTGTTTGTTATGCTGAGTTGCGAGTACATGGCCAGCCAAACGAGAGCTCGTGGGGCTATGCCTTGTCAGCCATAAGCGTGCCAAGCACTAAAGCCGACATGTAGGACTACGCAGGAAACACTAAACACACCATGCCCTCATACAAACCCTGAACCCGAAAAGCCGAAGCATTGAAGCCTGAGCCTTTGAAAGTTCGTGGACAGGGAGCTCGTACGAAGGATGGTTCGGGTCACAATCAAGATCTGGGGCTGAGTGCTTGGCATTGCAGGATTCTTGTTCCAGCCTTTTGGACTGGAAGGCTTCATGCGGCTTCATGGCTTAATTAGGGTTTTGGGGTATGAGCCCCAGATGTCGAACCCGAACCCTCTTCTCGCCAAAACCTCATCTGTGCAAGGCGCTCTTCGACCTCGTGGCCGGGGCGCTCAAGTTGAATGACGTTTTCAGACATTTTGTAGAAGAGCCTCGCCGTTTTGCAGCCGGTGAGCTCTCCAAAATGGCAGCGGTCGGTTCTCTCTCCTCAGTGCACTAGACAGAAGAAACGACTGGCTTGAGGGAATCCCATAGTTCTAGGTCGCGGCGACGGCCGCCGGTCCTCCTAGGGCTCTCTCCATCTCATCCCTCTCCAGGTTTGCCCCCATTGTTTCTGGCTTTCGTCTTTCCAGAGCTTCAGTGCCATGCCGAGGTACCCCAGGGCTGGGCACAACGACCTTCGGCTGCTTGCCAAGCGGGACCGGAGCTGAGCTTTCCTTTCTCAACACACACGGACATGCACGGAGCTCTGCATCGCTGCTGGTGGCAGCCCTTGAGAGGAGTACTTCCAGGAGCTGAAGGCGCTTTGCACTCGGGTGGTCACCGGCGACTCCGAGGTCCGCCCATTGCAGATCGAATGCACCCGGCGAGCGTTGGGAGAGCAGCACCAGGTTCGGGATTTGAGTTCGCAGAGTCAGCTCTGCGGCTCCTACAGTCCTACAGCGTCAGGCGTGTAATGGTTGAGTGAAGTCGCGTGGGTCCGTGCTTCGTTCCCCGCGTACGGTCGAGATGCAATGATTGCCAGACCGCCAAAGCATGCTCATGCGTGAAAAGAAGCAAGAAGCACCACACAATTCTATTGATGAGTTGATTTTGGTGCAAGATTTTGTTCTGCTGCCGGAAAGACGCCGAGAGTTGAGGCGGTTGAGCTTAGGGGTTTCGGGGTTCAGGGTTCAGGGGTTAGAGCGCAGGGCATAGACGTGGTGCAGTGGTGCTTGTCGGGTTTCTAGCTTCGCGTTTGTTGAAATGTGTAAGTGTGAGAGCATTGAACGCAGACTTGCTGGCTCATTACGTGTTCCGCTGCATACTTGTCAAGTCTCATCAGCTAGCTCTCCTGCCGGGATCCTGACACGCGGGATTTGTGCGGATGCCCTGTGCTTTCGATTGTAGCCTCATGCCGAGAGTTGCAGGGTATTGCAGGTTTACGCTGTAGCAGTTTTGTCTTGAGGCCCCATGACCTCATCCTGGGCGGTGCAGGCTCTTGTCTCAGACATTGGTAGGGCGCACCACAAGCAACGAGACTCTTGTGAGGGTGAAGGCGGTAGAGGAGATTCGCAAGACTTCGCAACATAGTGTAAGCTGGCCTAAACTGGTAAAACATGGTGTCAGAGTCTGCAAGAGCCCCCCAGCTCACGTTGCCACCAGTGCGGGATTTGCCCTTCGTCGCCCCTCTGCTCTTTGGGCGCCTATTCTTCTGCGACAGAACACATGTAAAGCAATCTGAGAGGACCGCGAACCACCCTAAACCCCTCCCATCAACGGGGACATCTTATCCTTTGTCAAAGAACAAGTCCCTATGCGACCGTGGTCATCTCCTTTCTACATGTGCAATTATGCTTTCCGTTTTGTGCGTACAGTGGCCATGAATGGGTGTGTTTGCATGTTCAAGGACTCTCGCATGCCAGTGTTTGCTGAAGGTGCATTCCAAGCCGACCCTAAATACTAAACCCTGAACCCCCCCCCTCCCCGCATCCAGCCAGGAGTACGTGATGCCGTCCAACATGTCGTGTCCAGGCGTTGGCGGGGGTTGGGGGCGGGGGGAACATCATGAAAGCCAGGCCATTCAACGAGCCTTTGCGGGAGTCTTGTTATTATAGAGGGTGACCAGACAGACTCCTCGTTTCGTAAGCAAATTCAATAAGGTTCGAGATGGAACCGGCCGCAGCCGGCCAAGCTTAACTTCCTGCATTCTCCAGGCTCTGGGTCTGTAAGCCCCAAGGCTTTCAATTATCTTACGACCAGGCTCTGGTCTGTAAGCGTGCACCCAACAAACTGGGTTCGCTGAATAAATTTCCGAAACTTGTGGTTATAGACCCTAGTTCGACAAAGCCCGGTGCAACATTAGCTGCCACCCCGGGCTCACGAATAAGTTGCAAGGGCCTGCTAGCAGCAGAGGGTAGTTCTTCAGATCGATTATGTTTTGGTTCTTTGCCTTTTAATGTTTTCTCATGGCAGATGACTTGAGTTGCAATGGACTTTGCCATGGAGAGGCCAGGCCATGGAGTCACTGTGTGCGGGCCTTGGCATTCGCTCGGTTGCCCTTTTGTTTCTTTTGGGTTTTTCTGTGCTGCGAGGCGTTTGTTTTGCGATTCTTCTGCCGCAACACCTTTTGGAACTGCCGTAGCTGCCGAGACTACAGTGAGTAGTTGGAGCGGCAGAATTGTGATTTAGACGGTCTAGCCATTGCATGAACTTCTGTGCGGAGCAAGCTGGAATAGCACACGGCAGAGACGCCGCTGGGCCATGTCGGATGCGACTCCTATGGACAGGCTCAACACGCTTCTCGGGCAACTCGAGCCGTCAAGTCGCCGGGATTCGCTGCGAAAGCACCATACAGACCACGGAGATGGGAATTGGTCCTGCCAAATACAAGTTCCAAGAACCAATGAATGGGTCGAGGGTGCAGTCCAGAAGGGCAAGAAAGCAGCCGAGCAGAGCGCCGCCGAGATCTGTTTGCGCCGACATGATGTGCAACGACTCCTTGAAAACGTGGGCCCAGCGAAGCGTTGTATCGATCACATGGAGTGGATCAGCGATAGGAAAAATGACAAGCGAGCAAGAAAGCATTGATGATGGAAGTTTGTTGTTGAATTCGTGGCCGCGATGACTACCACTTGAAGTGCTCACTGATATGTGGGGCTGACATCTCTGAGAGCATAGTGCTTCCCGTGCCAAATCTGCTGCAAGCACGGTTGAGAAGGCCAGATTTGCATGACCAAGAGCTGTGGAATGTGCTCGAAACAAAAAGAGATAGAGAGCGTCGTGTTTCTGCTTGCACTTTGGCACCATATCAGTATCTCTTTCATGTCGCAAAGTAAGTCTTGCATGCTACTGTACAGGCAAGCTGAGCTTCTCGTAGAGGCCAGGCCCTGAGCAGCGCCTCCCACGCCCAGCGCGTGCGGGGTCCTGCTTGCCTGCGCAATTGAATTTTTGTTCCTAGTCCTAGCGTCCTCCATTTTTTGAGTGCTTCAATTCCAAGGCTTCGGGATTCAGGGTGCGCTTGGAGCCGTCAGACTTGCACCATGGGGCATGTGAAATCGACATGCAGGTTGTCCACAGAAGAGTTATTCAAAAAAAGCACCACAGACCCCAGGACCTTCAAAAGTGGACACTGAGTCGAAGTCAGTTCGGTGTTGTGGTTAAGCATCACAGCCCCGCAAACCTTGATTTAAGGATGTTAATGTGAGAGCGTGAGAGCTCCTGAATGGATGAATGTTGTACGGCTAAAGAGCCGCAGATGATCTCAGGGATGGTTTTGTGAAGAGAATTAAAGAGCCCTTACTCGAACGGGCAAGACCCGCTTGTCTGTCGTGCCAGGTCGTTTCGATGGCACTTTGGATGAGCCTCGGCCTTTGTTCCTTTGTCCAGGAAAGTAACTGCGTACCCTGCTTTCTTCTCTACCTGTGCGGTGTGCTGACTCAGGCCAGAAAGCTTCGATGCAGTCCAGGCTGGACATGAGCTGCGGGCCTGCCGAGATGTGGGTCGAGACTTCGGGGGCCTGAGGTTTGGCGATCGGTTTCGGTGTATCAGCTGCACAGGCCCTGACCACAATACGGCTTTCGTCTTTGTGATGTGCAGGTTGCGCAGTGGATGTCAAAGCGGCACAAGGCACACTGTGACATGAAGAGTTGCAGCCAGTCCATGCGGCATGTGGAGGCAGAGATTAACTGAGCTCAAGCTGCCCGCAGGCTGTGCTGACAGGACAGCTCGGAGCTTACAACAGATTGTCGCGATGCTGGGTTTGCTGGTTTCGTCTTTGCATCGCTTCGCTGTGAGTTTCATACGCGCTCACGTCGACGGAGTACCAGCAGCAGGGCCCCCTGAAAAGAGTCCGTCGTGTTAGTTGGCGAAGGGCTGTCAGCTCCGTATGCTCGTGACTTGTCTCCGAGGACACTGCCAGCGCCAGCCGGACCAACTTCACCAGGATGCTCCAGGCCCCACACAGCTTGGGTAACTTTCCCAGTGAAAGCGCGCTGGATCAGCTCAAGACCACTGCAGCAGGACGCGCTGCTGGAAATGCGTCTCGCAAAGGCCCCAGTGCAAGCGAAAGCCGTCATACGGTCATGATCTAGGCGGCCAGAAATGGTTGGGAATGTACACCGACACCAAGCACTGCACTGCGAGCCGGGCAAAGGATGGAAAAACGGAGACAAGCACATTCTCGAGATCCCCTTCTAGCTCTACATCTACAGGTAGCAGCCGCCGACTCAGTGCTCCTCGCACTCCTAGCACTTTGCAGAAAAACCCGCAAACTGAAACGTAACTTGGCAGGTGAGTGGCAGAACTCCTCAGCTCCGGGCTCAGAGAGCTTCGCCGAATCGCTGCAGAAAGTGCATCGTCTGCCGCTCGGGAGTCATTGAACTCGTTTGCATGTGATGCGCACCAGACCTCCGAAAACGTTGTGACGGAGTGGCCGGAGTGGCCCATTCAATCCTGTCCTGCATCTGACGTGAGAGTCGAACGATTTGCAGGGAGAGAACCCGAAAATGACTTTGAAGACACTCTAAGTCTAAAATCGCTTGGCGGACCTAGCCATCACTCCGCTACTTTCCAAATCGCTCCAACTCCCTGACCGATCCGGTAACCGCAAAACTTCGTGGAAACTTCGCACCAAAATCGCAAATTCGCTCCAGCATCACTCCGAGGTCGCGTTGAAATTCACTCCGGAATTTCTCCTCCAAACATGATGTCTAACAGATATCCACATGTGAAGTCGAAGAGTGGCTTTAGAGGGATTCCGTGAGGTGCAGAAGTACTTGTCCACAGGTGACCTCGCCATGCGAGTATTTCAGCCGCCAGCTTTGGTAGTTCAAGGCACTTGAAGTGTTAAACGTGCGTGGTATCGAAAGATCAGCACACGACGGCATGCTGCCAAGTCAGGTTTTGCGGAGCGTCGCAAGCTTTGCTCTGACTTTCACAGCTTCTCCTGATAGTCTGGTCTCACTCCCCGTTCCGTCACCGTTTTGGCTGTCCTTTGAAAAAGCATGACCAGCCCATCGTTCGCCGCATGATGTCCTTGCGCCATCAGTGGAGAAACTTCCGGGCCGGTACGCACGAACTGTACACAGTGGCATGAAGGGCCGAGCTGGAGATTGTATTGTAAATGCCTCATTAAAGACCTCGGACAGCAGCCGCGAGACCGTCAATTCAAACCTCTGCCTGATGCTTGAAAGCATTTGCGACGTTTGCCACCATTACCCGTGACCGCACGTTTCTGGTAACATGCGGGTCTGTTTGCAGCAGCCCGTGCGAATCTACAGAGGTTCCGAAGTGGTTTTGAATTTGACATACAAGGTAGGAACATTGTGCTGGAAGCAGCTGCCATTGTCGAAGGAGTTGACAGATCTGCGCAGCAGCACATCGTCGAAGCTTTCGGCAGGCTGTCTACCACTCCTTCGAAATGCGATACTTACGTTTCTGAAGTGAGTCGCCAGGTGCAGCAACCTCCGAACGTGTACCTTGGGAGTGTCCGGCTCAAGCTGCGAGGTCGAGTGTCTTCGTTGACTGTGCTTATGCTTGCGCTTCCAAGGAACAAACCCCTGAGCGCCGTCAGCACAAATGCAGGCGCAACCCCAAGCTTGGACGACCAAAGCCTCGAGCTTAGCCCTGAACAGAGTCGTGGCAGTCGAGTTGGCATGATCAGTAGTGGATCTTGCCAAGGTCGACTGGAGTGGTCTGGCCGTGCTTGGAGGCCACGATCGGGAGACAGAGCTGAGCTCTCTTAGTCGCCAGGTTCAGCCCGGCTTCATTTTCTGCTGCTCCGACACCGTCCCAGGCTGATAAGCTATGGAACACGCACTCCGTCTTTTGCACTTCCGCGTGGATGCAGGACTTTGAGCGGAACAAAGCGGTCCCGCCCTCTCAGGCTCACTCCCTCCAGCCTCTGATTGCAAACGCCTTCGCGTCGTCTGCCTCGGCGCGGCCACATGTCAAGAGGGCGGACGAATTCGGCCGATGCTTCACTTGAGCGCAGAAAACAACCAAGCAAAAGGGGGGGGGGAGACACGAAACTTCGTCATCTGACCTTGGAGGGGGGGCGGGGTCAGCGAGCCGGATTAAGCGGAGGGCAAGCAAGGAGGATCCCTGTGGGAAACTCCGAACGCTTCGGCCAAGGCCGAGGCGAATTTGTGCAGCACGCCCATGTTTGTGATGGAACTTTATGCCAGGTGCGAAAAGTCTTTGTGGGTCGCATCCCGCAAGATTTGACGCGATATGATTTGTGCGTCAGCGGCTTACTGGGATAGCAGGGCGGCATCAGACACTATGCTCGGACCTTTGTCATCAGAATGGGGTGTGAACTGCGGCAGGAACAGTTCAGCCAGTTCGGGGTCTGGTGGAGCTTTTTATGCACTCCCGGATGTCGCCTTGACCAGGCAACCACGGTCTTCGTTGGCGGTTTGCGCAAAACCACTCGTGCAAACAAGGCCCACTGTGTGCTCCTGGGCGGGGAACCGGCGCTTGGCAGAAAAGATCTCTCCAGAGCCTGACGAACTGGGACGCAACTTCGTTCTCGCTCTCAAAGAACTACTGCCGCCCCCCCAAGCCAGGAAGCAAGTAATGGAATGGGAAACCATTTCATCATTATCATTATGACTATTATGGCTATTCCTGCTATTGGTGTGTCGCCCCTGCTCACAGGGGGCGCGCCTTCGCTTTGTTGCCGGTTAAAGACGACGCAAAGGAAATTCGCATGAATCCATCCTTAAATGAAAGTTCGCGTGTGCCCGCCAGTTCAAGCACCTCGACAGGTGGCCGCCCATTTTGCGAAGTACGGTCAGGCGGCGAGTTGCATCCGTTTGTTCAGAGAAAGCTCGGCTTATTCTGCTCGTCGTGGCATTGTGCAAATGCAGAGCCGCAAACTCGTGTTAGTTTAGGTCTCCGGAACGTCCCTTGTGTAGCTTTGGAAGGTGGACAGCGTTGACATAAAGCGCCTGCCAGACGGAACATCTCGTGGGTTCGCGTTTGTGAAGTTCACAGACGAGGAGACGCATGTGCCGGAGAAAGAGAAATGTTGGGGTTGGGTCGCACTGATGTCCTACTGGTGCATCATCCCCTGCGAGGAGTCAGTTCAAAAAGCCTTGGAAGCGAAAGACAATCATATGATTGACAACAAGTGCCCTGGCTTTCGGCCAGTGTTTCAATCATGTCCAGCGACATGCTTTGCAGCACGGGCAGACGTCAAGCATTCAGGCATCTTCAGCTGTTGGCAGATACCAACATAGAGCCCCCAATGGCAATGGTGATGGTGCAGGAAATGGTGATGGTGATGCCGCAGTTGAGGATCAGTACGGCTAGATGATCATGTTTGAGCTCGGTCCGAGTCCTGAGCTGAGGTGGGTGGGAGTTCGCCCACACAGAGGCCCTGCTTCTCAAGCCGCGCAGCGTGCCTAAAGAGAAAAGATGCAAGTTGTGCGAGAGAAGGCCCGCACTCCGGGCGTTTCCGCCGGAGCCCTCCGACGAGACGTGGCTGGGCATGATCAGCGACTTCATCGGCGACGGCTCGGTGCGGCCCTGAAATGCTGTCGCGCAGCACCGCCTGCGGCACAATTCGATGACCGCCGAGGCCCTGAAGTGCTTGCCCGGAGTACGGTACGGCGGTGCTTCGTCACCGATCCCGAGATGACGAACTCGCCTCGCTGAGACACCACAGGCTGCAGGTCAGCCTAGTTTCACACACGGCATCGTTTCTCCAACCCTCTCCTGAAAGATGCGTCATCTTAACCGAAATGTTCGGCAGTCCACAAAGTTGTTTTGAACTGAACTGACGCGCTGCGAGCTGTTGTTCGCACCACCGAATATGTTGTCAAAATATTGTCACCGTGCGCGATTCAGAATTACACGTTTCTGTCACTGTAATCCTCGGCGCTTCTGCAAAAAGACACGGGCAATGAGACGTGGTAAGCATCGACCAAGATTCTCTAGAACTTTAGGGAAGGTGCGGTGCAACTGGGGCCAACCAACGCTAAGACTGGGGTGCGGCCCCAAAGGGCTGTCGTGCGATGACTACCGAGACCCTGAAGTGTAGTGCACCTTGTGTCGGGTCTTCCAAAAAGAAATCCGGACAGTATTTGCTGTGGGCTGTGCGCCCCCTTATTCCGAGGCTGCCATTGCGTGACACCCTGAGCACAGACGGTGGGAGCGGAAGGGGACGTTGGCTTCTTTTGTCTTATTGCACGGCTGAGGCGATGGCGACAAAGGATTTAGTGTTGATCATAGTAATGACACCAATACGAATTAGTACAAATAGCAGTGCGCACTTGATTTTTTGTTGTGTACAGTATTTTGTTGATGTTTACTGTTTGTAGATCCATTTTATGACCATTTGTCAGTCCCTTTAGTCCAGTATCGTTCATTGTTACTTGTCATGACTGATTTGTTTATGTACTCATCTAATCACCCATCGTTCATTTGTTAATGTCGGTATTTAAGACTTATTCGATTGTTAGATTGCTATCATTCGATTGTCACCATCGTTCTCATCAGTCTTACGGCTAGTATGATCAGCATTACCGTCAATTTTATCATTCGATGTATTTGCCGTTAAAAACATTGCATCATTATCCTTCTCCATAGGAGTCTCAAACAGGGTTACGGCTCAGACACGCAGCCGGTTGTCCGAGGTTCGAAGAGCTCGCACTGAGCTCGCATTCCCGGTGAGAAAGGTTTGAACTTATCAATCCAGCTTTTGCCAGTACGGCGGACTTCAATTTCCGTCTTCAGCAGTGTTAGTGAGATCGATCGACAACAAGTTGTGATGTAATCACCCAGCCAGAAGTTGAAACAGAATGTACCTATCGACACTTGTCCCATCAACAAGGGTTCAAGGTTATGAACTCTCTCTGTCTGCAGCGGACCCCTTGAGTCTCGAATCTCTTTCAGCCGTGAGAGCCCTTCCTTTAGAAAAAAAACTGTGCGTCGTGTGTGCGCTTTGGCAGCTGAAGCTCCAGACTTTTGTTGCCTCAAAAGCTATGTCCTTAAGGGATAGACAGGTCGTCTGGAACCTTGTTGCAGTATGATGCACAGCATCATGTTAAACGTCGTGGGCAGCGCTTTTCCGATTCAGGGGCTTTGCAGGAGGCACGGAGGCACCATCGGCGTCCAGGCATCGCCTCAGCGTCGTCGTATGCAGTTCAAAATTGCACGTTTCTTTCATTGAATACTCGGTCACACAGTACACATGCACACATGCATGTTTTTGTGTATCTCTATATCTATATCTATATCTATATCTATATCTATATCTATATCTATATCTATATGTATTGCGGATGAGCATGCATGATCCGCCTTAGGTTTTTCGCGTGCTCTTTTCGGGTTGCAGGCTGGAGGGGCGAGACATGGGGCTGAAATTGTGCCAATCTGTTGCCGACCAAGATTTCGATGGTTGTACGGCAAATTTAATGGGTCTGATATATGCATGTACCTACAGACAGATATGACACGTGTAGGAATATGACATGGTGAACGGCTGGCGGTATGGATGGTGTTGGGTGTCGCGAGCTGAGCGAGATTCCGTGCTAAACTGTTGCATTCAAGTTCGGTTGGATGGCTAGTACACAAGGTATACATATATACGTATATTTACACACTGCTTGTAGATAGCATGCATGCACAGGCACAGCACATCAACTGTACAGTTGCTGCAAGAATTGGTTTGCGGTTGCATGGCGGTCTTGATTTGGACAGCAGTTCTTCCACAGAGCTACGAGCTACGGTCCTTTCATGGGCCTGCAAAACTGATGTCAGAGCCGGCAACGGGGCAGGTCGTCCGAGAAACCAGAATTAGCAAAATCGTGCGTGTCAGTGCGTGTCATCGCGTGTCGGTTCTCCAACAAGTGCCTTCGAAAGGAGGGTACTGGCCTCAATTTCAAGGCCTTATATACCTACAGGCGACAGGGGCGCGTGTCAGTGCGTGTCAGTTGTTGCATCGTTGTTGCATTTCCACCTTTCCCGAGTTTTGGACCATGACCGCCAGAAAACGACCTCTGTAGAGGGCCACCGCGTGCTACGGAGCCATTTCGGGTGTCGGGAGTCGGGATTCCTTCGCGACAAAGAGAGAAAGCAGTCCAGCACGTGCACGAGCAGTTTGCCTGGTGAGGTGCACTCACAGAGTTGTTTCCAAAACGCCTCCGGATCTCATGCTTGCACAGTTTTTGGAACCAAAACTCTGTCGATCATTGCTTATGGATTAAACCAGCAACAGAAAAGCTAGGAAGAAGGAACCAGGAACAAGCAGAAACACAACCAACAAATCAGGAATGAGTGCACCTAGACCTATAGCCCTAGCGGGGCTCAGCTCAAGAAGTGTCGGTCCTTTCCAATGTTGCATATTATATTGCAAGCCTATCTATCCGCAATTACGTGCATGCAAACGCGGTATAGTTCCGAACGCAGCGACCCAGGCATGTATCGTGTACCGACGTTCTATATATCCACACACTTAGTCACCTTTCTAATATCTATCGAGCAGCCTTGCTGTAAATTGTCCTCTTAATTTGGTCCGACGTTATCTCCCAGTCGAATCTGGTAAGTAGGTGCACTGAACCAGAATACTCTAAACCGTGTAGCGGAATCCAGCATGTGTGCAAAATGCGATTTCGAAACGAATTTGCTTTAAGTTGAAAGATGTAATGAAATGTAGCTTATCGAACCTACAGCAATATATACAGTTCGAGCACACGAGCAGTATGCAGTGTTATAACAAGCCAAGATTTTCGTCTATACAGTCTATAGGCCAAGCCTGACACACAATCCAAGCAAACATTTCTGTTTCTGACTTACACCTTGTAACCTGTATTCACAGGCGCACAACCTAACTTAACTTGTTGACCAACCCGGTCGAATTGCATCTGCTGTTCTAACCTGATCGAGTTTACTCGAACCCAACCTGAAGTCGATTCAATACACATGTCCATATAGTTTAGGTCATTCATCCTCTCTGATGCCATCCAACCCAACCCCTTTCGGGAAAAAAGGTATATGGTGATACACAGACAGAGAAACCGTCTTCATGCGGCAATTTGCCATCAATTTTCGCCTTTAGCATTATAACTTATAACTTGTGCTACGGAGCCTGAGCCCGCTACTTTCAAACAAACATCCACCGATGACTAGAGTGCTCTCGACCAGACAGCTTTTTGCCGTGACTTGCCAAGTACGTAACACCACCGGCAGCAGCATTACAAGTGCCTTCAATTTGCGTGTTTTCGAGGTGCCTTCATTTAGAAGCCATTTTCACAGCTTCTCAAATTGAGGGTCGAAGGAGGGTCTTGGTAGGGAAGGTGCATCCCGCAGCAATGGCGGAGACACGTGCTGGCCCCAGTAGTTTGAGGTCTGCCCGAGTGTTCATGTGCTTGCTTCCCTTTCTTGATGTTGTCAAGACCGGTACTCATAGCAAGGCTCCCGGATTCAGGGTCGAGTGCTTTCTGGCAGGTGAGCTTCTCGTAGAGGCCAGGCCCTGAGCAGCGCCTCCCACGCCCAGCGCGTGCGGGGTCCTGCTTGCCTGCGCAATTGAATTTTTGTTCCTAGTCCTAGCGTCCTCCATTTTTTGAGTGCTTCAATTCCAAGGCTTCGGGATTCAGGGTGCGCTTGGAGCCGTCAGACTTGCACCATGGGGCATGTGACATCGACATGCAGGTTGTCCACAGAAGAGTTATTCAAAAAAAGCACCACAGACCCCAGGACCTTCAAAAGTGGACACTGAGTCGAAGTCAGTTCGGTGTTGTGGTTAAGCATCACAGCCCCGCAAACCTTGATTTAGGGATGTTAATGTGAGAGCGTGAGAGCTCCTGAATGGATGAATGTTGTACGGCTAAAGAGCCGCAGACGATCTCCCGGATGGTTTTGTGAAGAGAGGCCTGGGCCCTGCTCTTGCCCTGCGGGCCGCCCACCTGGGTATATTAGTCTACTTCTTTCCGGTCTTTTCTCCACTCCTTTCGAGCTTGTGCGATCTCCCAGAGAACGCGTGTGAGTGCAGGCGCAAGGCGCCGCCGGATGGTTCAAGCCATCGCGGACAAGGCCTCGCTCGGCCAAAAGATCGTACTGGCCCCGCGATGCTGCGCATCTTTGTTAGGTGAATGAATGCTGAAACTTGGCAGCACGTTATGCAACAAATTACAAAGAGTCACGGGCTTCACTATGCGAAAGCCAGACTTGCGCTAAGGCCGAACCCAAAACCAGAAGGCCTGGCTGCGGGAGGCCTCAACGTCTGGTGTTGGTGTTGCGCTTACTTTGTTCGGCGTGGTTTCGAGAGAACAAAGCCGGATCGACAAGCATGGCGGATACAGGTTTCAGGGATTGGACGTGCAGAGTCGCAATTCGAGCAATTTACTGTGAAGGTGTGATACAAAGCCTCCTAGAACTCATGCTCGTGCGGGTAACAGCATGGGGCAACTGTGCGGATGCTTATCTTTTTGGGAGGTCCTTTGTTTCAGCATTCGTTTCAGTTTGTGATCAGCTTCTAACTGGAAGGCGCAGGAGATTTCGGAACGCCACGGCCTTCGTCGACCCATCCCTCTGGCTAGTCAGAGGCTCCTACAGACCAGCGCCCTTGCTAAATCCTCAACCCCTAAACCCCGAAAGCCTAGACCCGGCACCCGAAGCCCCAAAGGCCTCAAGCCCAAACTTTCATAAAGCCTGCACCTGACAGCCTAAGCCCTTGAACTCTAAACCCCAAATCTTTAAACCCTGACAGTTGCCAGGTCTGGAACTGTCAGCAGGCCGGGAGCTTGGCAGGATCGGGAGCAGGGTGTCCGCACTTTCGTGCTTCATTTTCGAAGGGTCAGGATGCTGCAGGCTTTAGCCAAAGTGACAGACTACCGACTCAGGCGTACCAGCTCCAAAGGATGGCCATGGATGCAGAGGAGGCCAGCCTGTAGGTGATGCGCATGGTCGGGGGGTTGGGGCTCTTAGTCACTGTGGTAAGTCATACTTATGGAACTTATGGTGCTGATGACGACGGCGATCCAAGGCCTGGTTTGCCCTAAGTCTCCCAACATGTTTCAAGGGCCTCCCCACCCTTCCACGAGCTGGAAGCCCTCTAAAATACGGGCCGCCTAGATTCCTAGATGCATCGAAGAATGATCTTCGAGGGATTGCGTGAAACAGTTAGTTGTTCGCGGCGAGCTTTTTGCATGCATGACGGTATCGCAAGTTGAGTCCTCATATAGATCGTTCCTCCATTTCCACCCGGAGTGTTCCTCAAAGCTACAGATAGAGAGCTATCGTCAGCTCCCCTTTGTGTGAGAGACTTTGCTGATGATTCTTCAGCGACCGTTATCTTGAGTTGACAGCAAGACAGGTTGGCACTGTGACTGAGTTGGATAAGTGAGACCACATGCATGACTGGTTTGCGCACCTGTGCAGGCGGCCTGTTCAGTGACGAGCGACGAGGTGCCGCGATGGGATGGTTGGGAGGATTGCCATGACACTGCTGATGATGGTGACGGTGATGATGATGATGATGATGATGATGATGATGATCCGCAACGTCGCCCTTTGGGCCAGGTCTGAGCTGGAAGGAGCGTAGAGGAAAGGGCGAAATTCTGCCTCATTGGACAGGTCGAGCCCCAAGCCTCTGGCTGCGGAACTGCTGCCGCCTCAGACGAGACGTTGCACGACAACAGCTAGGCAGTAGGAGAATCTGGTGCGCAATCTGTAGCCATCCTTCGAGACCGTGACGGGTTGTTTCGAAGATGCAGTACGACAGACTGAGCGCAGATCACCACAGAGTATGAGATCTGTAGTCCACTCTGAAGCCACTCGAAAAGCACTCCTCTACCGCTCCAACAGACACTCAGACACTGCTTATCTCGGAACATCGTCCTCGTTTTCGCAGTAGATCAGTGTGCCGAGGGTGATGAAGGGGAGTGATCCCCAGACAGCAGAGTCTGAATAAGTTGGCTGCGGCAGTGCAGCCTCTGTTGCAGAGGCCCTGCCCAGAAGATGAAGCAAGTTAATTAGGCTAGAAGAGCTACGATACTGAAGCCCAACAGGTTTGACAACCAGCAACCTGAGCCTGCTTACGTGCGATGGCATCTTTCCCACGGACAGCTCATGTGGGGCTTGTGCAAACCTCTAAACCCCGAAAGCCTAGACCCGGAACCCGTTTCATAAACCCTGCACCTGACAGCCTAAGCCCTTGAACTCTAAACCCCAAATCTTTAAACCCTGACAGTTGCCAGGTCTGGAACTGTCAGCAGGCCGGGAGCTTGGCAGGATCGGGAGCAGGGTGTCCGCACTTTCGTGCTTCATTTTCGAAGGGTCAGGATGCTGCAGGCTTTAGCCAAAGTGACAGCCTACCGACTCAGGCGTACCAGCTCCAAAGGATGGCCATGGATGCAGAGGAGGCCAGCCTGTAGGTGATGCGCATGGTCGGGGGATTGGGGCTCTTAGTCACTGTGCTAAGTCATACTTATGGAACTTATGGTGCTGATGACGACGGCGATCCAAGGCCTGGTTTGCCCTAAGTCTCCCAACATGTTTCAAGGGCCTCCCCACCCTTCCACGAGCTGGAAGCGGAAAGGTTCCGGGAGTTGAAGGCATTGCCAGAGTGATTTCGGAATGTAGTTTGAGAGTGAGGATCACTTGTACACGTCAAACTCCATGTGTCTCCTACACCTGTCGGAGCGAGTCGGTTGCTGCCCGTTTCAGCTGTCAGCATCTGATTTTCCCTTGGACGCTCCATCTCTCCGATACCTCTCCCTGGAGCATGATCATTACTCCTTTTCGTTGGCTGATACTCCGCGCACCGGATATCTCCGTCTCTCTGTTCTGCCTCATCTCCGGTCCCGCCTCACTTTTGGATGCTCTGTAACCATTTCATTCTCGGATTGTCTGCCGCTTGTATGATCCTATCTTTCTATCTATCTGGCTCTCCTGCTCCCCCTCATCCGCTAGGCTGAGCGCTCCTCGTGCCAGATACCATTTTCGGAGGATACTTAGTTTCCGCCCGGCTGATCCTGCGCATGTCTTCTACCCTTGTAGCCTATACCAGCTACCCATCCGTTTAGATTGCAGATGGTGTTGCTCAAGAATCATGAGAGCCACACTAGAGCCGCTGCGCAGGAGTGGTGACCACGCAGAAGGGTTGAGCGCCAGTGCTTGAGCAGCAGATCTACATTTCTCAGCTCGTGTGCAGATGGCCCAACCGCAGATTGCCCTGTTGGTTTGGGCTACCTGCGCAAGGGAAGGCAGGCACAACACCTGTCCACCAAGAATTCAAGCCAAAGTGCTACTGCATGAGGCACCCCCTTCAACAGGCTGTTCAACACTAGCAATTGAGTGATTAGATGGCAGTCACACAGCCGCTGCAAGCTTGCCACTGTCATCTTAAATCAGATGGAAGCCATGAAGAGTGCCGCACTTCTCCACTCCCACGATTGTGGAGCCATCGCTTGAAAAGAACAGGAAAGTCTGGTGAGGCCGCGCAGTGCCTGCTCCTACTCGCACCGAGAGTATAGTGGTGATTCGTTATCGACTGCGAGATGATAATTGTGGAAAGCCGTTATTGGAGAGAAGCAGGCAACGCACACGCATCACCGATCTGAAACTTCCTGCACCGCTGGCCGTGTTGTCTGGTTCTGAAGCTTCGTATGCTTGGGCCGCAACCTGGGCGAGCAGGCAGGCAGCATTGCAAAGTGGCAAGAAACGGACTCGGGAGCCAGTACCTGGAAACCTGAAGGTCATGCGACCTCTGCAGGGTGCACAACGGCTGACGCGAAGTGCAGGCAGGGGCACCTGCCCCTCGCGCGGCTTTCAACTGACATCCAGACCCACCCTCTCTCAGGACTCGCCAGGGATCTGCGGCACCTCGCAAGGTGCCACTTGGCTGCCTCAGCAAGGCGCTCCTTGTGTTGGGCCATCTGTGGAGGTCCCATCATCGCGGAGTCCTGGCACGAGGGTCCGTCTCGCTCGCGAGAATGTTGCGGATGTTTCAAGCAAGCTCCGCAAGGCCGTGGCCCGTGACACACCGCGTCGCAACCAGCTGCAATGTTGGGCGCACCGTTCAGGTCTTAGGAAGATCCTGCAACATACGGAGCTTCTTCAAAGCTCTTCAAACTTGAAGTTTGCCTCCTGCGCATCTATGGCATGCACCCGTTTTCGAGGCCTCGGTTGCATCTGCGGCGACGCCAAACCCAATGCCGCCGCTTCAGAGCATCATCAGCTCTTGGTGGAGTTCAAACACGGGCCGGCGAAGCGCTCACAAAGGCCCGATGTCCCAGAATCAGAATGCCTCGACGAGAAGGCCCACAAGACTGAGATCAAGTCATGTTAAGCGCTCCCAGCGTGGTTTCTCGTTTCTGATAGGAGAAACACGGGCCTCCGACCCAGCTTTTGCTTTGCCGCGTTTCTCCGCGTTCTGCCTTGGAAGCATCAGCCAAGGTCAGTGCCACCTACTCGGGAGCAGCTGCACAGGCACAGCCTTTTAAGAGAGTCTAGATTCCACGTAGTAGGTTTCGAGGAGTTTCCCAAGCTAAGCGCAAGAGAAGACGGGATCGCGAGAGGTGCCTGCAGGCCGCCGCAATTCCTTACATCGGGTCCCGCCTTCGGCCTTCGGCTGCGTCTGCAGCTGGCACGCCTGCGCATGGGTGCCAAGGTTCGGATTCCTGGACAACTTCTTGATGATCGTCTTCGGCGACTTCATCGACAGCACGCTCTGCGCACCTGAGCTGGAGAAGCACATGTGGGCTTGGACTGCTCCGAGACAGGCAGACGAACGCTAGGCTAGACTTTTAGGTGGCCTTGAACTTCAGCACCATGGCTGCGCCGCGGGCTTAGAGCGCAGAGCCCCGCAGAGAGCCCCGCAGAGAGAGCCTCAGGGCCGCCATCGGGAACACGTTGAGCGACGGTGCCGGGATCTGGTCGGGCCAGTGGCTCGAGGCCAGAGCCAAGTCCCTGGGATTCGAGGAGCTCAGGGCCGCCGCCTCTCTTGCTGTAGCCTTTGGGTAACACATCCTTTCTTGAACTTACAGCAGAGGATCCTGTAGGCTTAGCTTTCACGGAACATACAGCCGTGGGTTGAAACTGCAGAAGAAGCCAAGCTCAGTGTTCCAGGCACAATGCTTCCAGGGGGAGGGACGCTAAGGATGCAGCAGAGCCTCCGAACACGGTGAAAGAACGTTAACGGCAAGTGGACAGCACATGACAGGACTTACATGTCATTGCAAGCAACAAGGACAGGAAGAAGAGTGAACAGTGGTAATAGCAGGAAACTCGCAAGCCGCCGTTCTTAATCCTTGCGCCTTGATTCTCAGCGATTGGGTATTGAGGAGCCCAAGCTGAGCGAAGAGCAGGAGGAGATGGGCGTCACGGTGCGCTGGCGGAACGTAGGCCACCGTAGCTGCATCCTCTGAGTACACTTCTCTGTGTCTGGCCAAAGACAGGCCAGTTCGTGGGCATCACAGTTGGCTGTATCCTCGGCTGCTGCCCTTTGCTCTGGCCTCCTGACAGCAGCCGGGTTTGCTTCCTTCTTTCTATCGCCGTGCCTGTGCAACTGTTTCTTTCAAGGATGGATCCCGAGGCAGCCATCAAGCAGCGACGGGAGAAGGTGCCCAGGGAGCTCAGCTTAAAAGTTGTCTGATTTGCCAAAGATAGTGATAGCAACAGCGGTCTTGGAGGCTTACAATAAGAGACACCTGCTCATTTGTGTGCTACTTGTACCAAGTCAACGGATCGCTGACGTCGTGTTTCAAGAGAAGACCGAAGAATCTATCGGGCAGTGTCGAAGTGGACGGTGTCTTGCTGGTATTGCACTGGCCTATGTTACACGGCCGTCCTAGCTCTCCGTCCCCACCGGAGCCATTTCTCAGCGTTCGAAGCTGCCGCTGTTTGATTTTCTTCCATGGCTGTGCGGAGAAGTCCGCCGAGCCATGACGACACGGAATTCGCGTGTGTGCAACAACGCTTATCGCTGTACGACCCACGCAAAGCAACCTCGCGCGCACGCAATGATGCTGTTCCATGCTGCGCAGATGCAGCATGGTGTGAGCAAAAGCAGACCAGCTATAGCTAGCTACAGAAGAATGCGCAGAGCCGAATTTCAACTGGAGTCGCGGCATCGATAGGAGCGGGAGGAAGCCTTCGAAATCGTGGTCAGCAAGGCCCGAAAGGGTGCTTGTCAGGACTCGCTGTTCGGGAGAAATTGGTCGGTGCAGGTGCAGGAGCTTCTCCAGGCCGAAGCAGTGTCTCTTCTCCTCCTGAACAAAGCGCCGACCTTAAAGCGTGGGTGCCGTGGCACTTGTGGGCCGCGCAGAGCAAAGCTCTAAAGCTGTCTGCACGAAGTTGTGCTTCGAGCACAGTCAGAGTCAGCATGACGTCTCGAACTGCAGCACATCATCTCAGGAGCGTGATGAGCTTATTGCATCACACCAGACGAAGAATCTACCCGAGCACTTTCACTGGAAGCTGGATGAAGGATTCATAGGCCACAGAAAACAGGAGTACAACTGCGTCAAGCTTGTCAACTGTTGTGACAGGGCACGTGGTCAGCACGGGCCACTTCATCAACGTGGCAGACATCAAGGCCAGGGGAAAAGAGACAGAAACTTTGAGCTGTGTGCTATGAGATCCAGGATGAAGCACAGTACAACCCCGAGATTCACGACAACTTCTTGAAGACCGGCATCACAGTGCAAAGCATTCTGTGTAGGGATCTCACTGTCTCCGGGCTTCCCGCTCGTCCCTTGTCCCGGAGTGCTTCGAGGTATGCCTATATTCAGAGGCGGCGAAGTCCACGGCGTCGTCTCTGTCGTCAACAAGAGCGGCACCTAGAAAATGATCGGTGTTTCGGAGACCTGTGCTGAGCATTGCGGAGCCCGCAGGAAAAAGAACCACGGGGCCTTCACCCAGAAGGACGAGGACCTTCTCTCGGCAATCTGCCAAAGCCTTGCCTGTGCATTCGTGGATCAGAATGGACCCCCTTGAATGAAAGCACGTGTGAACCGTGTGAACTAGGTTCTCATGTTTCTGTCGCCCTCATCGACGACAAGCAGACCTTCAAAGAGGCACCCCGTACAAGTTTCCTCAAACCACCTTGAGATTAATTTCTTGCACATCAGAACACTTCATTCATGCAGAGCCGTCTCGCAGCTTACTTGTCTGTTTGGGGGGTGCTGATGCTCGTCCCTGTCTAGCACATGCCCGCGTAGAGTTGCACCCGTGAAAGCTTCGTAGCAACGCGGTTCCGAGGTGTTCTGAGCTTGGTTCACGTATGCTTACATGGCAGGGTTTGCCGCGACGTGGGAGTTTAAAGAACTCGGCTGGCTGGACTGCATCTTGTAGATGGTGCTGTAGACTTGGATGCCTATGCTTAGCGTGGATGCGCTACAATCCGCGACAAGCGCCATCGCTGAATGCTTCAGGTCTCCACGAGTCCATGCTGTTGCGTGTTTCGCGACAGGTCATTGAGCAGTGCGAGAAGTCCATGCAGGCAACAGGCGCACGAACTCAGTGCACAGAGGCAACATAGGTGTTCTTCGCATGCGGATCAACCCTTCCTTCTTCAAAGCAGGTCATCACAACCAAGCAGCACAGACATGCGAAAATGAGCACATTCATCAGCAGCTGACTGAAATCATTCGAGACAAGCACTTGGATAATTTCACCTCGACCAGAGTTTGCTTTGTTCCTGTTAACATGCTTCCCTTGATCAGCAGCTAGTCACTGTGCGGCAAGATGCCCGTCCAGGTTCGCCTGAATTCACTTCAGCCGCCTCTCAGCGCATGGTGCGCCAGAGCTTGCGACCGGCGACCGGTCTGCGCTGTGTCGATTTCCCTGTCGGCGGAGGCGACGCTCTTCGTCCCAGCCCTGGAGGGCATCCGCACCGTCCTCGGGGCCGAGGCGCGGGGCGCGCGTGCAGGCACTCTGCAAGCACTCCCAGCTTCCGTGCTTTAAGCTTGGCATGGCGAGAAGGCCACGGTGTTGATGCTGCTGGACAGACAGTGAAGATCCCAGCTGTGGAATTCTGGAATCTCGACAGCTGAATGACTTCCCCTTAGGTCGCAGGAGCTCTTCTCGGAGGTTTGCCTGCGGGTGGGGGGAGGAGAGGATGACGCAGGGCATAGGGAGGCCATTCTTGGCTCGGAGTTGTTGAGGGCCGAAACGTTCAAGTGAGAGACAGCTTGGAGCAGTGCTGGCTGGCAGAGCAGCAAGCCGCAATGAACGTTTTCCAGCTGCAGAAGCGATTTTCGTTTTGCACAACATGATTCCTGCTACGGACTTTCTTGTGCAAGCTTTGAGCTTAAAGCGCGAAGGCCGTTTCTTGTTTGTCAGTCCGTCCTTTTTGTCATGATGTTCTAACTGAACTTGGAGTCGCAAGTTCGAGCAGCTTTGTTAGGACTGCTGACATGCATGCCTGTGTCCTAGTCCTAAGCAACCCGAGACACTGCCTCTGCATTCGTAGCACCTTGTGCAGAGTTTTTATCTCCCAGGTGCCTGAAGAAAGTGTTCACAATTCAAAGCAGCTTGTCATGTCTCGAGGTCATTGACGGGCCTCTGCCGTACCACACGGCACCAGTGGGCCTGCGACTTAAAGCCGGCATGTACACTGTTGGTGACTGGTTGGGGTGCGATCGGGTGAGGCTTTGGTGCAGCTGGCGAGGTCCCAGACATGCTGCTGCGAAGGAGGTGCGAAGGAGAGTTTTGTCTGCAGAGGCTGTGCAAGTGGGCCACTACATGAACGTGCCTGCAACCGAAGCAACAGGCCTGGACTCCTGGCTGCTTAGAAGGCTAAGCTTTGAGCTTGGAATGTTTTTCGCTCCTCTTTGTGCAGGATCGGAGCTCGCCGTGCCGCTCTTCGATACGTCGCGAAAATGCTTAGGCACGCCTTGCAATGTGTGAGACCAGTGACCAGAGAGTTCCTGCGAAGAAAGGTGCAATCAAATGTGTCAACAAGCAAGGAAGCGCTGCCCTGAGACCTCCGTTGGCTGTTTTGTGGGCTCCTTTTGACACCGCTAGGTCCGGCCTTCAACACGGAGGACGTGGAGTTCGTGACACAGGTCGGCAGCGAGCCTTCGCCGAAGCTCGTGGCACTTGCGAGACAGAGTGGGGTTTTGAGCGCACAGGTCGCGCACTACATAGGCATGTTGCTGGAGGGCCCAGATGCGGGTCTCAGGAGGGCCAGAGCCTTTGACGTTGTGGACGCGTGGACGCGGACGCAGAAGTGAAGGGGTCTCGTCAATGCTTTGCAGGTACTGGCCTCCACCAGGCAGAAGATGCAGACCAAAGCCGCGATGCAGGCCCTCCCTCGATGGCAACTGTTCCGAAGCATGGTCACATGAGTGTCACATGTCTGTGTGGAAAAGGCTGCGGACGCCAAGGGCACCATCGTGTGTAACTTGGTCAAGGCACACCGTGATGGCCTGCGATGGCCAGCAACACGAACAGCACCACAAAGCCCTGAGATCCGAAAGGCCAGGAGCTTGCCCAGTGCTTCGGCCGCAGCCTCGGCAGCCTCCACCCTCGACACGTTGCGCTGCGGTTGCGCTGTCGCGGCCAAGAAACGAAAAGTCATCGACCCCTACGTGACCTTCAGCATCGCGCGCCAAGACCCTGGGACCCTGGGAGTTGAGACCCCTGGAGCTTCGGGGCGCTTCTGCCCAGGAGGCAATCCGTTGCAGCAAGAGCCCGGAGCAAGCCACTGAGGAAAGGGAGAGGAAGGGTGAGTAGTCTAGTTGCTTCAGCTTGCGGCTTGCGTTGCAATCGGCGGGCCATTGTCACTCTCTCCCTCCCTGCTCTCTCTCTCTCTCTCTCTCTCTCTCTCTCTCTCTCTCTCTCTCTCTCTCTCTCTCTCTCTCTGTCTCAGATGACTCGTGATGCTGATGTTAGTTTGTTGTATGCAGCAGCATGTGCTTGAAAGGCAACTAAGGCGGAAGAGTAGAGCGACTACTACTTCGAATGAAGTCCGAGCACATTGACAGGCATAGCCTGAGGTTTCTGTTGCCACGTACCGGTGATTTCGATAAATCTATCGGCTTCGCAAGCGCACTCGCACATGCTCGGAGCGATTCTCGCTGAAGAGAGGACTTCGCAGACCATGGGAGCAAATCATTGGGCCCAGGAGTGCAACGGTTGATATGTGGCTCATCGCATGCTTCGCATGCAAACGACGGCGCGAAACCCTTCGTTGTTATTGTCGGTTAGTCCGAGATCGGGCGAGGTTAAGGACGTCAACGACGACCATTGGACTATTGCAGTAGCAGCGTATCCCACTTCTTGCCCCTTTTTTATCCGAGGTTGAGCAGAGGGTCATGCGAGTCCGGAACAAGGACAGGAAGGTCGGCCATGCCTCAGAGCACCGCTTTTCTGGGTCGGCATCTCGAGTCTCGAGCAGTCGTCGATTGTCTGTGTTGGTTCGGTGTTGCACAGAAGACAGCATCAGCCTTGGCCGAGCCAGGCAGCCATCCGCAGATTCGCCAAGTCCGGCACAATTTTAGAGGAGTGGCGTCAGAGTTGTTGTGAAGCGGAGGCATGTAGTCGCGCAGCTTAAAAGGCCTCTCGGTAGTTTGCCTTTGCCTGCCTCGCAAGACTCGCAGGATCCGAACCCTTCCTGGAACGAGTCCATTGCTCTCGCCTTTCCGAAGAAGTTTGAAGGCCGGAGCTGGGCAACGGGGCCGGCGGGCGGATGGTGTGCCGCGTCGCCGCGTCGTGTCGTGAGGTGTGCCGGAAGAGGATCCGGGGGCCGGGGGTTGCACTCCAGGCAAAATGCACCACGCAGCCACAGCCAAGTCTTGCAGGAGCTATGGGTGCACGTTCTCTTGTGGGACTACGACTCGTGCAACACTCAGCGCTGATATCGCAAAGCAGGGAAGATCAAGATGCCGGACGTCGCTTTTGTGTCTGAGGCTGAGAAACGACGAGCTGGTGGCGCACGCGGCCTTCTCCCTCTCGGAGATCCGGGCAGGGAAGCTGAAGAAGGCGAGGCCGAGCCTCCCCTGCTTTCGCTCCCGGCCGGGCTGGGCCGCCGCGCCGCCCTCGGCGCAGGTGGCGGCGCACGGGCTGAGGCCCCTGCCGGGGACTGGCAAGGCCCAGCGAAGTTGAAACCGATCGTGATTGGTTACCCCCTGTTCAAGCCCACCTGGCCCAGGCCTCTTCAGAGGCCCCAGTGCTTGGACCGGACAAGCAGATTGCCACCCTGTGGGTCTGGCTCTCGCAGACCGGTCCTCTTTGAAGGGGATCACTATGCGAACGCATCGCCCCAGGTATCCTTCGATCCCTGAAGGCGTGGGAGTGTTAAAATTCAAGAGATGTGGTGCATGTCGTAGCGTTTCACAGGACCAGTGAGTTTCAAGTTTCCTGGGCATCCTTCACCGTTGCCTCCTGCACTGGGCCTTGCGTTCCTCCGACGCCAGGAGGGGAGGCTGACAGTCTCCTCAGCCTCCCCTCTGTTCGCAGACGAGCAAAGAAAAAGCGTCGACTCCTTCAGCAACCTAGCCAGCACATGGCACCCTTGATCTAGATGAAGATGTCAAGTCGCAGATGCAGGTCCGAAAGTGGGGGAATTTTGAGGGCTTTGGATGCAAGCTTGCAGGAGTTGCTAAGGGGCATGCCGAAAATATTTTGGGCTCAGCATGGCCAGTGCAGCGTCATGCGTAGCCGTACGAGAAATGTGTAAGAACTTTTGGGCACTGCAGCTACGTTCTCATCTACATAGTAGAGTATTCAAGCCAGCGTGCACTGTGAGAGACTTGTGGGATAATCTTGAACTTCGTGGCTTCGCATCACGCAAGATGGTGGCGGCATCGCATGCCTCGAAGCTCACCGGTCGTGCTCCCAGCCCTCGACTTGGATGCAGAAAGGGCTACAGTTGAAGTTTCAATCTGGTCGAGGAGCAGTCGCAGCGAGGAGCTGGCATGTCTTCTGGGCTGTCGCTGCAGCAGCTGCGGGCGCAGTTTCCCTGACGTCCATTGCGAGTTGCGAGCTCGGCCTTCTCATCGTGTCGGCTCAAGTAGGGATTGCTCAACTGCAAGAGAACTTAGACTTGAGCATGAAGCTTCTTTCCGACCAGGACGAGATCCAGTTGAGTCTGAGAGTGTACGGTCTGAGAGTGTAAGACCGAACTTTGCCGGTTCCCATGGCGGAGTGCCCGAAGCGACATGGGCAGCGAAGCAGGCGCCAAGTCCTCGTTCTCCTTGGACTTGCGGGGACGTCCTTTGGTCCAAGCTTCGCGGGCGGCGGGCAAAAGCCCTTGAGATGCCAGTCACAGCCGCTTCAGCCGCTTCAGCGGCGCGTCTCTCGAGAGGAGATGCTGCTGAGCGGCGAGGGCGCCAAGGTGATCGAGGCGCTTCCAACAGTCCGACAGGAGGAGCTTCCGTTGAACACAAGCATCGCCTTGGCCGGCATCGCTCTCTTCGGATACATGTCTTACCAGTTCTGGACGCGCATCGCGTTCGGGAAGGCTTTCGGCAGCGACCTCAGTCGGCTCAGTCGGACCGACCCCCCCCCCCCCCCCCCCCCGCAAAAGCCCATACTTGCAGTAATTGCAGCGTGCCTGGCCGGCCACCGGCAAAGTGCAGGGACAGACCTCGAAAGAGGTGGAGATTGCGAAGCTGAGGCACTGCCGATCCGGTGGTCATCCAGAAGCCGGAGGAGGTGTTTAAGGAGCTACAAGACCAGAGTAAGGGCAAGAGACAGCGTCCTGTAGGCATAGAGGGGAAAGTCTCCATCGGCATGGATGCAGACACAAACCGTGGGCGCAAAGTTCTGGGTCTTGATGCGCTCATCTTTGCATATCTGATGTTTGCATCTGCTTTCTTCATGCTCCTGTTTGGAGCCGCTGCAGCATATTACCCCTTGCTCAGTGGCCAAGTTCAGATGGATAGGTAGCACTATGCACATTCGAGTTGCAGCTTTTCGCAGGGCACCGCCTAGATCTGCCTTACTCGTGATTTTCTGCCAGTGCGGGTCAGCGCGACGGTCGCCGGCACTTGACCTCTAAGATTCCTGTCGCATGGTCATGCTTGCATGAAGAATTCAAGCGGCACGAGCTGAGCAGCCGGGTCTGGAAAACAGTGCAGGCTGCATCTTGCTGCATACGGATGCTGCGTTTCTGTCTGCGCTGATCTCTTGGCTTGGGAGCCAGGCTTTATGAGGCTGAAGCCGAACCAAAGGCTCGACTCCTTCAGTGGAAGGCCTGGCGGCCTTGGAGCCGGTGCCGGAACTTCTCCTTAGTCCTTCTTTTGGAGGTACATCGCCTCTTCGGGCTTTGCTTGCCGGTGCGGCTGCGCTGGAACCATGTGGTGCCTGGGCCGTCTCATGCCTCGATCAGGTCCATGAGATCCGCTCGCAAGCTGGATCCGCTCCTGGCTTATCGCTGGAGCCTCCGCGCCCGAGGAGGACAGAAGACACGATCCTTGCCAACTCGGTAGGTATCTTGGTTGCGCTTTGTGTTGCTGCTGAGGGTCGTAACCTCCGCTGCTCGGCTCAAAGACCGAAGCATCCGCCATCCCGCCTACCTGGAGTCCGGTGCCTTCTCCTCGACATTGTAAAGATGTACATCATGTGTTGGTCTGCAGCTCCTCGTTGTCCTTTCCAGTTGCTTGCGCCATGCTCCAGCGATGTTTTGTCGATACTAGTCTTCCAACTCTGTCGTCACCCGCACCACATCATCGTACTCACCAGCACCAGCACCATCGCCATTACTTGCATGCACAAGCGCGGCGAGGTGTCGAGTAAAACGAAGACACGCGGAGTGTACTGTCGCCGTTAGTGCTCCGGACATGTACGCAGCGAACCAAGACTTGCCAGCGTGATGCACCCAAGTGTGGGAAGCCTAGTGAGCCTGGCGCCAATGCCAGAATCCGACGATCACTCATCCCCTTAATTTTCGAGAAATCCTCTATTGAAGCGCGGCCGGTTCCAAGCTGCAATCATCGCATGCTGCAGGCAAGAGTTTCAATGCATAACCAAATTCGTGGGGTCGCTCGGCAGAAATCAATACACGACATTCGCAGCAGTTTCTCCCATCCACCTGTTGCGCGAAACATGGGCTGTCAAACGCACGAAGCTGAAGCACACAGCCAAAATCGACGGAGCTTTTCTCTGACGCTGGAACACCTATATTCCGGTTACAGAGTAGTTGGCAGTCGGACGAATGTACCCCAAGTATATCGTAGGAGGAGACAGAGGATGAGGAGAAGTGGGATGAGGATGAGGAGGACGGGGAGGAGGAGCAGCAGCATCTGCAGGTCTGCAGGACCTTGCCCTTGCCTTGTATTGAATTCATGCATGTGCGGCGATGTAGCCATAAGCCTGGCTCCACCTCCTCCACTTTCATGTTCAAGTCTTAAGTCCGAGGCCCCAGCCGACACGATGGCCGCGCGACGCCCTGTGCTGGTCGTCCTTGCCGTGGCGGTGCCCCCGCAGCATCTCTCCATGTCTTTGATGCCCTTGGGCAGCTGCGGGCCTTAAGGGCAATGGTCGATCCCGGCAGGCATGCGTCTGGCTGTTCTCCGCCAGCGCTCCTGAAGCTGAGGAGGTGAGGGAGATGCATGGCTCGAGTTTCTCGTGCCTACGTAGATCGCCGCCAGGTCTTCGTGGTCCAAAGCCCTGCCCTTCGTGGCCAGGCTGTTTCACCGGAGTCTTTCAAACTTGGCGAAAGCAACCGCCGGTCTGACTTGCAGGCAGGTGCCTTTGCCGGCAGCAGCATCGAGCTCGCGGCGGTGGAATCACCGGTGGTGCTGAAGGCTCGGAGGGCAAGTGGCAGGAAAGCGTCGAATGGAAGCCAGTGGCAGCACACGACTGCACCTGCAGGCTCTTCCGGAGCCTCGCCCCAACGATGCCATGCTGCCGGCAGCTCTTGGCCTGTTTGGAATAATGAATAATCACTTCTCCCTTTCCTTAAACACCCCCCTTAGTAAGAAAACCACATTGGGGGCGAATCCTTCGGAAATCATCCCTGCCATTAAAAGCCCACTATGGTGGATTCTGGACGCTAGCATGCTAGCAGACGGAAAAAGGCATTCAAAACAAAACCTATTCTGAATTAGGGGAGCTCAGAGCACAGTAAGAGCGAGAGCAAGAGCAGGAGTCAGAGCAAGAGCAGGAGCAAAAGATGGAGCATCAGCAACAGCAAAGCGGGAGGAAGAGCAAGAGCAGGAGCAAAAGCGGGCAACAGCAAGAGCAGGAGCAGGCGCAAGAGATGCAGCAGAAGTTGGAGCAAAAGCCAGCGCGTGAGCCAAGAGCCAGCAGGAGCAAGAGCGCGATCCCTCAACAGTGGCAGTCGAGATAGAAATACCTCCCAATAGTGTAAACACTTTCCGCGTTTTTATTGGGGGGGAGGGGGCCCCGCCGGTTTAATATTAGGCGAAGGGTTTGCCGGCATCATCTTGCCTGCACCATCTCGGCTGTTTGCGCTTCCAGTATGGCAGGTTGAGCTGAACAGGAGACGAATCCGAGCTTTGGCTGCTGGCTGGGGCGCATTGACGCTCCTCTTTGGGCCAGCACGTGCGCTCGTCTCCGCATCGCGCAGGACTTCTCTTTACTGGGGCTTGCTGCTGATTTGCATCCTCTCGGCACGGGGCCTAAACGAAAAGCAGCGGCAACAGGAGTGTCCTCCAGGGGAGGGGTGTTTTCGACGAGGTGCTCTTTTCCAGCTACTTCTTCAACTGAGACGCGATGGCGAGGGCTTTAAACTTTTAAGCGCGTACAGTAGCCGTGCGCCTCTGAACCGGGAAAGCTCGAGACTCGAGAGCTCCTGCAGAAACGCTGCGCTGTTGGAATCTCGAAAAAAAGCCGCTGTTTTCCCGCTGCCAGGGTGCCCGCTGCAGCAGAGACACGAGTCTGCTCACTGCTCGGAAAAGCTCTGAGGAGCAAGTTCTCGGTCCTCTTCACGGCAGCTTGGCGAAGCAGAGGCTCGCGGGAGCTTTTCGTGGATCCTCGTGATTTTCAGGAGGCCCCTGCTGGCTTCACTGGGTTTGTGGACGATTCCGACGTCTTCGAGGAACAGGACACAATGGGAAACATACGAATAATGTGAGTCATGCCTGTTGAGCTTGTTCGTGATACTATTACCTGCAGTCATCATCGGAGTGCATCGGGCAATGTGCCCGATGTTGGGTCTCAGTTTGGCTATAGAGTCGAGAGCACGGACATGGCGCACTACTCCGTTGGCAGCTAGACTCAAGTTGTGTGGCAGCCACCAGCCTCTGCGTTCGGAAGCTATCCGAGGCTTGATGTGAGCCCTAGGAACCCTTGAAACCTCGGCGGAAGGTTCCTTCGGTCTTGAACCGCAGGATGGCGAGCCGGAACTGCGGGAGATGCTGGAAACCGGGGGATGGCCCCGGGCTTCGATTCCTGAGCACCAGGCCTGCCGTCGCTCTTAGGCCTTTCTTTTCGAACACAGTCGCTGTCTCTTGAGAGGCCTTCGAGATCGCAGCCTGGCTGTGCTGCAATGCAAGGACGCGTGCTTTCGGGTTCCGGTCTTTGTTAGTCTTGGTTCGGCACGCGACAGTATCGCTTCTGAAGAAACAGCTGCTAGCGCTGCGTGCAGGCAGCCAAGTTCACTCGGCCGCATGCTGGCCTTCGTGAAGCGGGCAAACAACGTGCTGAATCTCCTGGGAAGCTTGATTGAAACGGCATGAAGTTCCTGCTTTGGACGAAATTGCTCACTGGCTCCAAGGCAAGAACAAAGGCCGGCTGGTTCTCTACTGTGAATCGGAAGACTGGATTCGCAGGCCGGCTTGGTTGGAGATGCTCCCCGAAAGAAGGCTGTGCTCTCATAATGCTGTCAGGAACAACGTGCTGCTGCGCGCACCAACAGGTGTCGAGATTGGGGAGAGATACGCTGCAACCCTGGCATTCTCTGCTTCGGTGCTTGGCGACAACTTGAAGGACCGGTTTGCTGACACCGAGGTTGCCGATCAGAAAGTCCTCTGTGACTGCCTCCACCATCTGCTAGTGGATCAACAAGGATGGCTCGGGATGGCGGACATTAAACGCCTCTTCCGTTCCTTGCCTCTCAAAATGACCCCCGGCACCCTCCAAGCCATGCCACATGCTGACATGAGGATGTCCTGAGCATGTGCGGTTGACGCGATTTTAGGTGCCCGCTTTGGAGCCGAAATCAGCGAGACAGCTTTCGGATGCGCATCGATGACAGAGCTGCTGTCGCAGCCTTTCATACGGGCTCGCTTTCACTTTCAACCGGAATCACGGCGGCATGTTTAGCAGGTTAGTGTTTCGCGGCACTCATGGCATCGAAGATCGGCGATTCGAGCAGCTAAGGACTGGGAGCGTGGCTGTGGATATCTCAGCTTTCGGAGGACGATGCCGCGCCGCCGGCAATGCAACATCCGCACCCTGCAGGAATCGTCGCACTGTGCATTTGATGCCTTGCAGGCACTCCACGGTCTACTTGTAAACACAAGATTTGGATTGCTGCCATTTGCTCCGGAGGACAGGATGATGGTGCTGCGCCACTCTGAAGCTGCTGTCGGCTCGATGCTGAAGTCTTGTTCTCATGCGGCATCGGCAGCCACTTATGACAAAGCTGCGGAGAAGGAGCATGAAGTGATCTCGTGGCAGGGATTGCGCACACTGTCTCCTATGTACATCCCTTCGAGTCACATCCAGACTCCGCCGCCACGAGCACAGAACTTGGGTGGATGCGGAGATGCCGCTGATCTTCTCACACCGGTGAAGCGTATGCCGGGAAGGCTGGGTTAGATTGGGCCAAGATTACAGTGTCCGCTCCATTGTCGGATGTAGCTCTCACCACCTCGTCCAGGAATTTGCACGAGGAGACAAATGACGATAAAGAGCAGGCTGGGTGTGGGTTCTTCTTGGTTGTTCTGCTGACGACAAAGTTTGTCAGCAGGAGGTGGCCGAGGCTCCGCACATTTCACCTTTGCCGCCTTGGTGCTCTGTCAAGCGCACCTTCATCAACTGTGACGGGGAGCCTTGTCTTCAACGAACCCAGAACTTCGTTAGCCCTGCAGTAGCCGCTGGGCAGTTTTGTGAGAAGGTTCGAGGCGAGTCCTCGCCGACATCGCGCTCTCACTCAGCTCCCTCGCGCACAGACGAATCCAGCCGCCAAGAGAAGCACTGGACCAAGATCGATTGATGCTGATAGCCGACGGCGACCCATGCTACTGGTAGCGCATTGCTGGTGGAGTTAAGTGCTAAAGCATAACAAGCAGCGTCTGTCTCTTGCGCGTTTGGCAGCCTGTCGTTCCAGCATTGGTCCAATTTGATGTCAAGCCTTTCTGGTACGGGGAGCCAGGAAGGAGGCTGGACCTTAGACGCTTCGAAGAGGCTCACTGAAATCTGTGTAGTCGTAGAAGTTGGCACAGCTGGTGAATTCAATGAGTGGCAGCACAGCCGCGAATTCAATTATCTCTTGACTCAGCTCTCGTGCTGCACGCTTCATGCGGCATGCAAGGCACGCGTCTTGCTCGTCGAGTCGTATGCAAAATCTACTTCCTGGGGGACGTATCGATGGTGCGAAGCTGCAAAAAGGGAACCTGCTCGACTCTGTTCCAGATGGTTTCATGCCCGACAAACAGCGCGGCTCGCTGCTGCTGTGAATGTTGCAAGTCCTGGATTCAACAATCCTAGTACATGAGCATGGTTGGAGCTTTCATGTATTCATGTGTAGATGACAAATCAACACCTAGGAAATCCAAATACTGGCACTCGTGAAACCCCTGCACGACATAGCACATGCCGTGCAGCACAGAAGACTTGGTCTTTGGCAGTTTGCCACTTGTTTCTTTCCGGTTGTTTCTTCTTACCACTGGACTAGTAGCTGCTAGCTCTCAGCCATACTAACCAATAAATTCTGGCAGCTCGACCGCGAGGTCGTATAGGCTTCATGTACCTGCAAATCTTGACAGCGAAATTGACAGGGCTTACGCTGTACAAAACGAGTCAGGGCTAGCTCGGAACCAAGACTCGAAGCTCTCCAACCATCCCCACCCCGCAGCACGGAACTCACCTAACCGCGAGACGCAAGCCTAGCACTCAGCCCGGACCAAAGCAGTGTCGAACCGTGTACCTCCGCTGGCCTCCGCCTCCAAGCCCGATCCGCCGATGCCACGCCTTACAGTCCGGGCTATATAGGAGCGGGCAGGGGAGACTTCTGCATCCTCCTTGCCGCAGATGATGTGAAGTTACATGACAAGCAGGGCGCCCCCGCAGTCAGTCAGAGCTTCGAAAACTTCTCGCAAACTGCATCGGAGCCATGAACCCGCCTTGACATCCAAACAGCTTTGAAGGCGATTGGCCTGGCGCTAGGTTTGAACTCCAACTACTCCGTATTAGGGCTTCTGCAAGTCCGCAGCCACAGCTGCTCGCTTGTTTATGGCGGGCCATGGCATGACGAGCCCTGGCAAGCGCCAGATGGATCCTTGTTTTTGCGCTGGACAAAGATCGAAACCAAGCCGAGAACAAAGATTCTGCAAGGATAGGCTAATTGCATTTGATGGCCCGCCTTCCTGGACTCCCGCAGCAGCTTGTGCCTCGCACGTGCCGGCCCAAGGCGAAAAGTTGACGGGATGTCTCGAGTGTCGGTGTGTGTACGTCAGCTAGGTAACCAGGTCTGCTCGGTGCTGAGCGTCGGATGCGGCAGCCTGAGCTGTCTCCACCCTTTGCCGTTCTTCAATTCTTGGCAAGGCTGGATGTCTGTATTCACGTTTTTCAACTGCCTTGGCTCCTCTGGGCTCAAGCAAAGAGCTCTTGCCAGCGCATCTCGTCCAGTCGAAGCTCTGAACTTGGTTAGCAGACTTGGCCCAGTACTTTCGGGCACCTGCCATGTGCCGGGGATGTCCATAGATCACGCGTTCGCCAAGGCCCCAGCCGACACGATGGCCGCGCGACGCCCTGTGCTGTTCGTCCTTGCCGTGGCGGTGCCCTGCAGCATCAAGCATCGTTCCATGCCTTTGATGTCCTTGCGTATCTGCGAGATTCTGCGAGATTCTGCGAGCCTTGGGGAGTGGTCGGTCCTGGCAGGCATGCGTCTGGCTGTTCTCGGCCAGCGCTCCTGAAGCTGAGGAGGTGAGGGAGATGCATGGCTCGAGTTTCTCGTGCCTACGTAGATCGTCGCCAGGTCTTCGTGGTCCAAAGCCCTGCCCTTCGTGGCCAGGCTGTTTCACCAGAGTCTTTCTAACTTTGTGAAAGCCCCGGCCGGTCTGACTTGCAGGCAGGTGCCTTTGCCGGCAGCAGCATCGAGCTCGCTGCGGTGGAATCACCGGTGGTGCTGAAGGCTCGGAGGGCAAGTGGCAGGAAAGCGTCGAATGGAAGCCAGTGGCAGCGACTGCACCGGCAGGCTCTTCCGGAGCCTCGCCCCAACGATGCCATGCTTCCGGCAGCTCTTGGCCTGTTTGGAATGCCGGCATCATCTTGCCTGTGCCATCTCGGCTGTCTGCGCTTCCAGCATGGCAGGTTGAGCTGAACAGGAGACGAATCCCAGCTTTGGCTTCTTGCTGGGTCATGTTGACGCTCCTCTTTGGGCCAGCGCGTGCGCGCTCATCTCCGCATCGCGCAGGACTTCTCTTTACTGGGGCCTGCTGTTGATTTGCATCCTCTCGGCACGGGGCTTAACTGAAAAGCTGGCACCGAGAGAGCGTGAGGCACCAGCGGCAACACTCGACCAGGTGCTCTTCTCCAGCTACTTCTTCAACTGATGTGATGGTGAAAGCTCCCCAATTTTAGATCTTCAGACTGTTGGAAGATCACTCTGCGGCTCCAAGTCTCATCAGTCGCGCTCGTGTGCGCGCTGGAGGGTCACATGTCCGCCAGAAAGCTGCCCAGCAGCCTGAAACTGCAAGGAAGCGCATGGCGAAATCTGCTGAACGTCACGGTGCAATCTCGGCCTCAGAGCCTACAGCCACAGCATCGCTGAACTAGGTCTGCTCGGTGCTGAGCGTCGGATGCGGCAGCCTGAGCTGTCTCCACCCTTTGCCGTTCTTCAATTCTTGGCAAGGCTGGATGTCTGTATTCACGTTTTTCAACTGCCTTGGCTCCTCTGGGCTCAAGCAAAGAGCTCTTGCCAGCGCATCTCGTCCAGTCGAAGCTCTGAACTTGGTTAGCAGACTTGGCCCAGTACTTTCGGGCACCTGCCATGTGCCGGGGATGTCCATAGATCACGCGTTCGCCAAGGCCCCAGCCGACACGATGGCCGCGCGACGCCCTGTGCTGTTCGTCCTTGCCGTGGCGGTGCCCTGCAGCATCAAGCATCGTTCCATGCCTTTGATGTCCTTGCGTATCTGCGAGATTCTGCGAGATTCTGCGAGCCTTGGGGAGTGGTCGGTCCTGGCAGGCATGCGTCTGGCTGTTCTCGGCCAGCGCTCCTGAAGCTGAGGAGGTGAGGGAGATGCATGGCTCGAGTTTCTCGTGCCTACGTAGATCGCCGCCAGGTCTTCGTGGTCCAAAGCCCTGCCCTTCGTGGCCAGGCTGTTTCACCAGAGTCTTTCTAACTTTGTGAAAGCCCCGGCCGGTCTGACTTGCAGGCAGGTGCCTTTGCCGGCAGCAGCATCGAGCTCGCTGCGGTGGAATCACCGGTGGTGCTGAAGGCTCGGAGGGCAAGTGGCAGGAAAGCGTCGAATGGAAGCCAGTGGCAGCGACTGCACCGGCAGGCTCTTCCGGAGCCTCGCCCCAACGATGCCATGCTGCCGGTATCTCTTGGCCTGTTTGGAATGCCGGCAACATCTTGCCTGCGCCATCTCCGCTGTCTGCGCTTCCAGCATGGCAGGTTGAGCTGAACAGGAGACGAATCCCAGCTTTGGCTTCTGGTTGGGTCATGTTGACGCTCCTCTCTGGGCCAGCGCGTGCGCTCATCTCCGCATCGCGCAGGACTTCTCTTTACTGGGGCTTGCTGCTGATTTGCATCCTCTCGGCACGGGGCCTAAACGAAAAGCAGCGGCAACAGGAGTGTCCTCAGTGATGTGTCCTCGACCAGGTGCTCTTCTCCAGCTACTTCTTCAACTGATGTGATGGTGAAAGCTCCCCAATTTTAGATCTTCAGACTGTTGGAAGATCACCCTGCGGCCCCAAGTCTCATTGAGACCAGTCGCGCACGTGCGCGCGCTGGAGGGCCTGGCAGCCTCACAAGTCCGCCGGAAAGCTGCCCAGCAGCCTGAATCTGCAACGAAGCGCATGGCGAAATCTGCTGAACGTCACGGTGCAATCTCGGCCTCAGAGCCTACAGCCACAGCATCGCTGAACTAGGTCTGCTCGATGCTGAGCGTCGGATGCATGCAGCAGCCTGAGCTGTCTCCGCTCCTTGCTGTTCCTCTCCTTGGGAAGGCTGGCTGTCTTACACGTTTTCAACGGGTTCGGCTCCTGTGGGCTCAAGCAAAGAGACCTCGCCAGCGCATCTCGTCCAGTCGAAGCCCTGAACTTGGCTAGCGGACCTGCGAACTGCGCACTTTCGGGCACTTGCCATGCCTGGGATGTCCGAGATGCAATCCGAAGTGTTGCGCGCTGGCCAAGGCCCTAGCCGACACGATGGCCGCGCGACGCCCTGTGCTGTTCGTCCTTGCCGTGGCGGTGCGCCCGCAGCATCTTTCCATGCCTTTGCTGCCCTTGGGCATCTGCGGGCCTTAAGGGCAATGGTCGATCCCGGCAGGCATGCGTCTGGCTGTTCTCCGCCAGCGCTCCTGAAGCAGAGGAGGTGAGGGTGATGCACGGCTCGAGTTTTTGGTGCTTACATGGATGGCTGCCAGGTCTTCGTGGTCCAAAGCCCTGCCCTTCGTGGCCAGGCTGTTTCACCGGAGTCTTTCAAACTTGGCGAAAGCAACCGCCGGTCTGACTTGCAGGCAGGTGCCTTTGCCGGCAGCAGCATCGAGCTCGCTGCGGTGGAATCACCGGTGGTGCTGAAGGCTCGGAGGGCAAGTGGCAGGAAAGCGTCGAATGGAAGCCAGTGGCACACGACTGCACCGGCAGGCTCTTCCGGAGCCTCGCCCCAACGATGCCATGCTGCCGGCATCTCTTGGCCTGTTTGGAATGCCGGCATCATCTTGCCTGCGCCATCTCAGCTGTCTGCGCTTCCAGCATGGCAGGTTGAGCTGAACAGGAGACGAATCCCAGCTTTGGGCTTCTGGTTGGGTCATGTTGACGCTCCTCTTTGGGCCAGCGCGTGCGCTCATCTCCGCATCGCGCAGGACTTCTCTTTACTGGGGCTTGCTGCTGATCTGCATCCTCTCGGCACGGGGCCTAAACGAAAAGCAGCGGCAACAGGAGTGTCCTCAGTGATGTGTCCTCGAATAGGTGCTCTTCTCCAGCTACTTCTTCAACTGATGTGATGGTGAAAGCTCCCCAATTTTAGATCTTCAGACTGTTGGAAGATCATCCTGCGGCCCCAAGTCTCATTGAGACCAGTCGCGCACGTGCGCGCGCTGGAGGGCCTGGCAGCCTCACAAGTCCGCCGGAAAGCTGCCCAGCAGCCTGAATCTGCAACGAAGCGCATGGCGAAATCTGCTGAACGTCACGGTGCAATCTCGGCCTCAGAGCCTACAGCCACAGCATCGCTGAACTAGGTCTGCTCGATGCTGAGCGTCGGATGCATGCAGCAGCCTGAGCTGTCTCCGCTCCTTGCTGTTCCTCTCCTTGGGAAGGCTGGCTGTCTTACACGTTTTCAACGGGTTCGGCTCCTGTGGGCTCAAGCAAAGAGACCTCGCCAGCGCATCTCGTCCAGTCGAAGCCCTGAACTTGGCTAGCGGACCTGCGAACTGCGCACTTTCGGGCACTTGCCATGCCTGGGATGTCCGAGATGCAATCCGAAGTGTTGCGCGCTGGCCAAGGCCCTAGCCGACACGATGGCCGCGCGACGCCCTGTGCTGTTCGTCCTTGCCGTGGCGGTGCGCCCGCAGCATCTTTCCATGCCTTTGCTGCCCTTGGGCATCTGCGGGCCTTAAGGGCAATGGTCGATCCCGGCAGGCATGCGTCTGGCTGTTCTCCGCCAGCGCTCCTGAAGCAGAGGAGGTGAGGGTGATGCACGGCTCGAGTTTTTGGTGCTTACATGGATGGCTGCCAGGTCTTCGTGGTCCAAAGCCCTGCCCTTCGTGGCCAGGCTGTTTCACCGGAGTCTTTCAAACTTGGCGAAAGCAACCGCCGGTCTGACTTGCAGGCAGGTGCCTTTGCCGGCAGCAGCATCGAGCTCGCTGCGGTGGAATCACCGGTGGTGCTGAAGGCTCGGAGGGCAAGTGGCAGGAAAGCGTCGAATGGAAGCCAGTGGCACACGACTGCACCGGCAGGCTCTTCCGGAGCCTCGCCCCAACGATGCCATGCTGCCGGCATCTCTTGGCCTGTTTGGAATGCCGGCATCATCTTGCCTGCGCCATCTCAGCTGTCTGCGCTTCCAGCATGGCAGGTTGAGCTGAACAGGAGACGAATCCCAGCTTTGGGCTTCTGGTTGGGTCATGTTGACGCTCCTCTTTGGGCCAGCGCGTGCGCTCATCTCCGCATCGCGCAGGACTTCTCTTTACTGGGGCTTGCTGCTGATCTGCATCCTCTCGGCACGGGGCCTAAACGAAAAGCAGCGGCAACAGGAGTGTCCTCAGTGATGTGTCCTCGAATAGGTGCTCTTCTCCAGCTACTTCTTCAACTGATGTGATGGTGAAAGCTCCCCAATTTTAGATCTTCAGACTGTTGGAAGATCATCCTGCGGCCCCAAGTCTCATTGAGACCAGTCGCGCACGTGCGCGCGCTGGACGCCAGAAAGCTGCCCAGCAGCCTGAAACTGCAAGGAAGCCGTGTGTGGCGAAATCCGCTGAACGACACGGTGCGTGTTTACGTGCCGAACAAGCCCAGCCGACCAAGGTTCCGTGGCCCCGTGGCCGATGACCTGCGGCCGAGCCCTCCCGTGCCTCGTGCAGTAAAATGGCAACAGAGCGGGAGGCTCTGTGCTCACGCACCTGCCACGTTTTGAATCCGACAGCAACCTAGAAGCAGAGAGGAAGTGTCATGCTATTGTGGTGTTTTCAACATGCTGGCAGTTTGGCTTGGATGCCCGACCTGCAGTCTGGAGCTGTGCGTTGTTTCAAGCGGATGGGGGCTCCTTGACGCCATGCTGGACGTTGCGTGGATGGTCAGGTGTGGAAAATCAGTGGAGAGACAAGAGCTTCTTATGCTTCCATCGGCAGGAACCTGGAGGTCGTGGACGTGGATGTCTGCGGGCCGTGGGTGGCGGCTGCGGGGACTACAGGCCAATCAATTAGTCCAAACCTGCCCGGTCTGCAGAGTACTCCGACCTGTTGAAGTCGTAGCCGCCTCCTGTCGATCACGCCAGTAGATGGGGGGAAGGTGCCGGGGAAGTCGTGTCAACCAGCGTTTACATGGGGTTTCGCTGCTCGCCTTCTATACGAAGTAACCCGGATACAGGGATTTGTTGAACAACGATCCTTGTGAAATCGAGCGTGTACATTGGGAATGGCTATTCTGATGTGCTGTTTCGCTGGTCGGCTTCCATACGACATACTCCGAATACAGGGATTTGCTGAACAAAGATCCTTGTGAAATCGAGCGATTACATGGGGAATGGCTGTTCTGATGTGCTGTTTCGCTGGTCGGCTTCCATACGAAATACTCCGAATACAGGGATTTGCTGAACAACGATCCTTGTGAAATCGAGCGTTTACATGGGGAATGGCTGTTCTGATGTGCTGTTTCGCTGTTCGGCTTCTATACGACGTAGCCCGAATACAGGGATTTGCTGAAGAACGATCCCTGTGAAATCGAGCGTGTTCATGGGGAAGGCTGTTCTGATGGGTTGTTTGAGCTTATCTACTGCTGCGGTTACATGGGGATAAGTGCAAATTGAGCTCATTTACTGTCGATTTTTCCGTGCGCTGTGTATGCGGTTACTTGCGGCATGCCATTTGTCCCGACTTCCGTCCCGACTTACCTGACCAGCGAGCAAGAGCGGGGCAGGTTTTCAGGAAGTTTGCCCAATCAGCGTGTAGTTTGGGAAAAGTATGTTACAACCTTCTACAACATTCTACAATTATTTTACTTCTCTACCCAGAGACTCCAAAACCCTTTAATTGAGGAATGTCCTTCAAATTATATATAGGACCAGATAAAGGAGCCCTAATAGATTCCTTAATGAAGGGGTTTTGGAGTCTCTGAATACGTAGAAAGGGGTAGTGCGTCTTCGCGTTTTACAGGTGTAAAGCCTTTGCAAACTTTCGCGTCTTACAGGTTTAAAGCTTTTGGGGTAGTAAACTTTCGCGTTTTACAGGTTTAAAGCACGTTTGTGTAGTAACCTTTCGGGTGTTACAGGTTTAAGGCTTTTGCGGTCGCACCAAACGTGTGCATGTCTGTGTGTGTTGCATGAAATCACACCCGAGGGTATCGTTCAACCGTATTTACTGATCTACGACCGGGTATCGTTCAAGCCGACGTAAGAAGCTTACGAACGCCATCTTGTAGTAAGTTGTCGAGTTTCACAAGTTTGAAGTTTTGACAGGTTTTTCCATAGCTCCTGGGGGACCGCTGTTGGTTGCGGAAACAGGTGAAAGGCCTCACTGAATGATCTGTCTCATAGATCGGTCGGGATTGCTGTTAGATGCGGAAACAGTTCAAATGCCTTACCGACCGCTGAAATGAAACTACTCACTGAATGATCTGTTTCATAGCTCTTTCTGGACCGCTGTTGGTTGCGGAAACAGTTCAAATGCCCCACGGAATGATCTGTTTCATAGCTTTCTCGGGACCGCTGTTAGTTGGGGAAACAGTCCCAGTGCCCCACAGAATGATCGGTTTATACCGGTTTCAGCTCTCTCGGGACCTCTGTTAGTTGCGGAAACTGTCCAAGTGCCCCACGGAATGATCGGTTTCATAGCTCTCTCGCGACCGCTGTTAGTTGCGGAAACTGTCCAAGTGCCCTACGGAATGATCGGTTTCATAGCTCTCTCGGGACCGCTGTTAGTTGCGGAAACTGTCCAAGTGCCCCATGGAATGATCGGTTTCATAGCTCTTTCTGGACAGCTGTTAGTTGCGGAAACAGTTCAAATGCCCCACGGAATGATCTGTTTCATAGCTCTCTCGGGACATCTCGGGACCGCTGTCAGTTGCGGAAACAGTTGATGGTGTCTCTCGAAATAGTCTTTTTCATAGCTCCTTCGGGACCGCTGTTAGTTGCGGAAACAGTTGAAACGCGCCACGGAATGATCCTTTCAGGCCCGCTGTTAGTTTCGGAAACAGGTGATTGCAAGGACCCTGCCGCGGCCCCCTCCTTGCGCACTGTTAGTTAGGGATTCGAACACGGAAACAGGTTTGCAAGGACTTGGACTTTAGCGATTGGGATTATTGTCTATGCAGTAGAAGTAGTGAGGTACTGGTCCTTGCGCTCATATAAGTTCATGGAATATCAGCGTTTACATGGGGATTGTGTGCAAAAGCTGTTGCACAAACACCTGCAATTGACCGGTGCGACGGCATGATGTGACTAGCGCTTACTTGGGGATTCGTAAGTTGTTGCGCCCTCACAATCCAAGTTTTGGTTCGGATGTCGAGCGTTTACTCGCGGGAAGCACATTGACGTGACTTTTTCCATTGATTGACGGGCGGCGTTCCTTGGGGGAAGCATGAACCACGAAAAGTTGATGTGACTTCAACGGAGTAGGCAAGTCGCCAGGCACTCTGGTTCTCCTGAATGGCAAGCTGTGCAAGCTGTTGGAGGCACTGCGATAAACATTTAGCCCACACCAGGATTGAGCGCAATGTAATGATGTTAAGGTCGGTGGCGGGCCAGTAACACTTGTGAACCGGTGGTTGATTGTTGCGTCGGCAGCATTGGTCGGATCCTCAGCATCGCTACTTGCTGAATCTCGGCGTCTTTGCATGTTGGCTTGAGGTTCACGTTTTCGACGCACGTGACGACTTCCGCTGGCAGCTTGCGTTTCAGGCAAGCCATGAACAGACACCGCTGAGTTGCAGGATTCCTTGCTGGCCATAAGCTGTGATTTTGGGCTGAGGCGCATTTGGGGCCCATCCAGCACATGGTGGCACACTCCACACGATCGATCTTGTTGACTACTGCGTTGACCGCTGCAAGAGCCATCGCGTTCCTGTCTCAGTTTTTGCGGTGCAGGCTTCGACATGGGAATGACACTGAACGAGAGGTGGCATGGTGACAAGACAGGTGTTGGGTGGCAAACCCTGGCAAACCCTATCCCTGAACCCTAATAAGGAGATGTTGGGGGGCAGACCCTCATCCCAAAAAAGAGATGGTGGCAAACCCAAAAACCCAAACCCCGACAAAAGGACATGTTGGGTGGCATACGTTAAGCTCGAAAGGCCTCAAATATCGATGTTTCCAAGCGGAATTCTTGAAGGGTGGTGTTGGCTGGCAAGCCTTAAGCCGGAAGAGGAGATGTGCCGAAGGGTGAATGTCAACAAAAAGGAGATGTTGGGCGGCAACGCCTAAGTCCTGAAACCAGGTGTTTCCAAGGGGGCCTCAAGCTTGAAAAGACATGTGTTGGGAGATAGCAAGCAATGTTGGGGTGACAAGTCCGGACCTCAACAACACCTGTTAGCGTTCGTGGCCCGCCCGCCTACCCACAAGGAGGCACGCAGGCACTCATTCCCCTGAACTGTCTTGGCTTGGTACCGAACTCTTTAGACAAGGTTTGTTAGACATACCAAGTTTCGATACCGTTGTGAGTTTTTTCCCCTCAGCATCTGGGATTGGGGCCAGGCATGGCGGTGTCTCCAGGCGAACAGCTTTCGACAGTCGAGTCAGGTCATTCAGGATTCTTCACGTGTCACAATGTGCAAATGGAATCCGGAGGACCCGGCTGAATCGCAATTTCACACGCAGGTAGGCGTTTGTTTTGGACAGGACCACGACAAGTTGATTGCCTGCGCACAAGATGGCACCGTCAAGATCTGGGACTTGGGTGCAGGCAGAATATGGCCTGCCACATGCCGTAGACCCAAACAGACTTTCTGGCAGTACAGGAAATGCCCACGAGCTTGTCGTCCCTGGTGTTCAGTGCGTTGAGTGCCCTTCGTAGTGATGTTCCAGGCCGTGTTGCAAGAATGCAAAGCCAAGCTCCGAAGGTATGCGCCGTTGCCGCCGGACGTAATCTTGGGGCACGAGCCTGATCACGTAAGCGTTTGTGGAGCTGTGGAGAGTATGCGCTATCCTGCAAGCAGCCAGCGAGGTGCGTGGACGAGAAGGTCCGAATCCTACACCACCAAAGCTTGCAGTCGCCCCGACTCGTTTGAAGAAGGGCGGCAGTCACAATACCCTCGCGAAGTTCTCATTGTGAGTGCATCAGCTTGCATCAGACATGCTAGGTCACATGCTGTTGCCGGACATGCGCAAAGATTATTGCAGACACGCAGTTAAATTTTCGTTCATGCATTTCGGTTTTGAGTCTTTCCCAATTTTCAGTGTTTGTGCAAATCTGCTGTGCATGCGATGGTTGTACGCTGAACATCATCGCGACCATTTTTGTGAAACGTTTTCATATCAGTCATGACAAGCTCGGAATTCACGTCAGTCGCGTGGGCTGGCCACATCAAGCATGCGTGCTAGTGCGTTACCCCAACTTGCGCTGCAGAACGCGATGCGATGTCTGCGCGAACGTGACGACTAGCT